TAGTTTTTAGTACAAAAAAATTCTCTAAAATTATAATTGTTTTTTGTTCACATGCATTCAATATTCTTTATGTTCATAGAGTAATAAGATTTTACATTTTTAAATACAACTAATAAAAACCGAACCGAATCATACTCGATCCAGAATTAGGACATAACAGAGGACTGTTTTTAGTGGCTTTTAGACCGAATTTATGAAATGATTATGATTCTAAATATTGATTAAGCTTGGCTCCTTAAATAACAGGTTATATATTATGTGTTTTGATAAATAGAACTATGCATTAATATAGCCAAAATAAAAAAAAACATGCTTGGACCATGATTTTCCTGTTAGTAGAGAAAGGCCCATATATTTATCGATGACCATCAACTACTACGACTGCACGGAGGGCGTAGTGGTTAAAGCGGTCGCCACGTCGCTTCCTACTACATGGGACGACACTTTGTGTGATCCACAAATTGTTGTTCTGAGTCTGGGTGTTCTTTGTGTCCGTTTCATGTATGTTTGTAAAATCCCCCGCGACACAGGATGTATGCCTAGCGCGGGAGTTGTCTTTTAAAAAAAAGAACTACATCAACTAGTTCCTACTTTTCGTAACGCTATTCAACACTAAAATAATTGTTCAATTCGAATAAGTAGGTATTAGTACCAAACAAACAAACTGCTGTATCATTCCCTTCATCACCATAAAATTCAACATAGACGTTTTTAATGAGACTAATCCCTCCCAATATCCAAGTGGTGACGGATTAAGAATACAGAGTGTCACCACCCCTATTCATCCCATGGGTGTCGTTAGAGCCGACTAAGGGAGCAAATTAACCAGGACCACAGCACTGCATAGATAAGGAAAACTTATTTATTTATTTATTTTTTACACACCCTATACCTACCCGTCTGGCCAGCGTGGTATAGTAGGCCAAAACCTCCTTTCTAAGGAGAAGCCTATGTCCAGCAGTGGATTATTAAAGGCTGATGTGATGATGTGTGTGAACCCCTCCCACACGCCCAACACTGTAATTCCTGTGCACCAGGATCAACAGCAGTAACCCACGAACACACCGAGTTATGACACTCGGAAAGTCACAGGAAAAAATTAAACTGACTTGGAACCCATAACGAAATTAACTAGAAGACAATTTGAGAAGTTGAAAATAAAGAACATAGACGTTTTTATAAATAGAGAAAAGGACATATTATGACACCTTTTATCGTCCATACAAAAAGTACTGTTTTGTAATTTAACTGTAATTTAAATACTACTTTCATAAAAGGGACAACCCTATTGCTGTTGCTCTCGACTGAGCCCTTACTGTGCACACACAAAATAAATAATTTATATATGTTACTGTAAAAGCCCTAATCTATAAACAGACCAACAATAGACCCCTCTATTGTTGGTCTGTTTATAGATCTGACTTTAATTGTCACTGTCCTACCTCAAATTAAATTAAAAGTAGGTACTTATTGTTTTCTTCCCAAAATCAACATTTACCATCCGCCTCTGGTAAAACCTAGCATGTACCAGTTTCTAATGGTATAAGTCCGAAAAATTGATCAACTTTTTATTAATATTTACATTTACCAACTGCTGTCGGTAAATCTTAGGTTTTACTGTAGTTCAGGCTACATAAGAAGAATATGTTCAAAGGCGAGCTTAACCCATTCTTGAGTTTTTTCTAGCAAATAGAAGCAGAGTAGTAGTGGCATAAATGCCAAGGTAATTAACACTACAGGTCCATACGATTTAAATCACTGATTCCACAAGATGCCTGTAACGTTACATTAACAAGATATTGTTGACACAATTACTGACCAATTATAATGTTTATGATAGCACTTAGTCAGACTATTACTTCATCGGATAGTGCGTGACTTTGATGACTCAGTACCAACGACTGTGATGTGTGCAGCTGCGTTTTTTCGCTATCTTCTGTCTTTTGGAGTGATGATAGTAGCCACCTTGCAAGAGATATTTGCCTGTAACTAACTTTTTTTATCTTTCTATGAAGCTACAAAGCCAGGCCTACTCATAGCGAAGTTATTTGAATATAGAATGCATAATAGTACAGAAGAGGCATTTCGCAAAATGAACAAATATCGACTCTTGCACCTAAACAATAAAGTACAGTTCAGTTCGTACAGTGCTTATTACTACTTTTGTGTTTTTTAAAGAACAATTAGGCTGAATTAATAACCAGCTTTAACTCGACGCCACGGATGGCGTAGTGGTTTAAGCGGTAGCCACGCCGCTTACTACTACGCTAAGTGTTGTGGGTCCGATTCCCACATAGGACGACACTTTGTGCGATCCACAAATTGTTGTTCTGAGTCTGGGTGTTCTTTGTGTCCGTTTCATGTATGTTTGTAAAGTCCCCCGCGACACAGGATATATTCCTGATGCGGAAGTTGTCTTTTAAAAAAAAAAACTTTGTACCTATTCTAAGACCAGAGCACGATGCAATCTGTTTCACATCTAGATTTGCTGTAGTAACTCCAATGATGTACTTTAAGTGTCCACTAAAGCATATAATTGTTCTTCAATTGTTATGTTTTACGAGTCTATATGTATATGTATGTATATTTCTTAGGCACGTTCTGAAGTCTAAACGGCGTCATGTGGCTTCGGTTGACGTGTCACTGGTTTAATTATATGAAAATTAAAATCGTTTGTTTGTAAATTTTATGCATTTTCACGCAGTCCACTTTTTTTTTGTATAATTAGCTTGTTATAATTATATTTTCGGACATCTGGTATCTAGTTTCAAACTAAGCAGAGCTTATACTATGAAATCTAGATTGACTGATAGAATACTTATTTACTTTTGTTATATATACATATTTTACATAGAAAACACTCAAACTCCGAAACAAATATTTGCAGATTATACGAAAGTTTGGTCCGGGAACCGAACCAGAGACCTTAAACAGCAGCCACATACGCTTCCACTGCACCACCACCGAGGCAGTAAAAGAAGACCTGTTTGCCGTATACAAAAATTCAAGGACGATTTCAATGCACAGGTCTTAGTAGTCAAGGTGACGATGCCCAAATATGCGTTGGTCACAGGTCTAAAATACAAGTCTACGTATCATCGGACGTGACTTCGGCAAGATTGCTTAACCACAAAGACATATCGCCTCAGCCAAATTAAGTGCCTCCTTGTATTAGTTCCGAGTATTTGTTTCATTAACATACAATCGCTTTTGAAATCATAAATATTGTGTTCACCCTTTGGAAGAGCATCGGGCAACTGTCACCTTCGTCTGCGGTTTTATGCTGTAGTATTACCGTAACATTATCCATTTTATTATTTTGTTAGGCAAAGGCATCAATAGCCTTTAATAGTCCACTGCTGGACATAGGCCTCTCCTTAGAAAGGAGGTTTTGGCCTACTATACAACACTGGCGAGGCCGGTTAGTATAGGGTTTGTGTCAAGTTTTCCTTCTTTTTGCAGTGCTGGTGTGCTGCGTTGTTGCTGCGGCTCTTACGACACCCACAGGATGAATTGGGGTAGTGACATTCCGTATTCTGAATCCGTCACTACACGGACTAGACGGACGGACGGACTAGAGAATAAATACTATATCTGTAGTGTGACTATTGCTATTAAATATTGCAATACTAAGTTATTTACTTGTCCTAATTGGGAATTTGAGCACATAAGGACAAGTAAATAAGTTATTATTATGAAATTAGAACAAATATTTGATACATTTGAGAGACACCCACCTAGTCTCCTACTAGGTAGAGCCTGTACTGTACTGTATGGTAACCAGACTGCTGATAAACATTCTTATATATTCGTACTAATAAATACATACATATTATAGATAGATTCCTATATAGGAAAAAAGGATCGTGCTCATTACACAACTATGTGTTCTGCGGGGAATTGACACCTGTGGGGAATTCCTGTGGCTTAGCAGACAGACACTAACTACTAAACTCGATCGATAATTTTAGTTTTAACATAGTGTAACACTTATCAGTGCTTACACTTACGCTCACAGCGAAGTTGTGTTATATTTTGGGGAAATGGAATTGTTGTGGCTTCAAGTACTTATAATGGGTAAACCCTTAAGTTGATTTCCACTTACAAGTCTTTTAGACTGGCGAAACTACTAAATTATCAAATCAGAGAATGTTCTTCATAAAACAGACCTTCATTTAATGTTACACTGTATGGTACTTTAGGCACCACAACTCCACTGGTACTTTGTTTCTAACCAGGATTAGTTTCTTTACATGGCTCGTCACTACGAAGACAGGCAATGAATATAGTACCTTAAAAATTGTACTATATTCTTAAGATTCTCAACATGTTGCGGATGATAGCATTTTGGATACTTTTCCTGAACTTACAGTATTGATGCCATTCCAGGCAAATAGGTCTCAGTATTTAAGTAGACAATTAACTATGATTCTAGTAATAGAACCTTACAAAGGCTAAGTTGGGAATGTGTTAAGATCAAGGCATAGCTGACCTCGGTTTGTGCTCTTGAACCAAAAAACCGGCCCACGAGGCGGTCGGGCGACGCGCGTCTTACGTCATCGTGCGCACACGCAAACTTTCTGACACACGCGTAGTTTTTGTTTATATATTTCGTGTACTTTTTTTTTAATTCTTGATAGTTTGGTTATTGAATTTTGAAAACAGTGCTGAAAATATAGTTTTAAATACAGGTACAATTACGAGTATCTGTGCAAATTTCATTTTATTTGTACAGAGAACATTAAGAAAGTTGATGTTCGATTTTGAACTGTAGTGTAATTAATTATTAATTAATACTTAATACTAGTCTCTATTTGTGTCACTAGCGGTATGCTGTATATTAGGAACGTAAATATTTTATATTTACGTTCCTAATATTAGCATTGATATTAGCCGTCTCGTAAACACTATAGTAATATTTTTATTATTTATCTCACTCTTATCTTATAAATATTATTAGTCACGATGTATTGATTAATAAATTAAATACGAGAATCAAGATGCGTGGGTATGAGTCATAATCCCATTGATCTGATTTTAGTATCGAGATGTTGATTGGTGTAGTAAGAGAGAAGTATAGCTATACTAAGAGGTAATCTAGTGTAAATCCTTCAGTTTATTTAACAGTTTAAAAACGGTTAGTAAGCTTTCTTACGAAACGATAATTTCTTGGAACCCGATCGCTCAACAGATTTGGCTTGTTCGATGCGTCACTATTTTCTTAACGCGAATGGACTAAGAGCATTTTTAGGGTGAAAAACAATTCAGAGAAGTTTCTTCCAAAAAACTAAACAACATAGTACACATTTTTAATTAACATTACAGCTTTAATGTTTATTACAACTTGAAAAATATTTATAACCCGGATTTCGCCGTTATTACGTAAAGCAAATTATCAGTATAATATTACATTACAAACGTAATGATACATAACGTCTGTTTGACAGCCTCTAAAACAACTCATAATAGCAATAATGAACTACAATGTTGCCCTATAAAATATTGTTATATTATCTGTGCAATATCATTAAAAAAAAAATGCACATTATCATACGTAATTTCGGCAGTTCTACACATGTTTGATGCCGTTCAGACGACTTTATGTCACGCATCTGGCGATTGTTCCGCCATTGTCGCGTGCACTTAGGTCAATGGCCGAATAACCCCATCAGATTATGAATTTCGGCACGCGAGGCATTTCGTATGAATTCCCTGGAAGATGGATTCTTTTAAAAATAAATTGTTTGTTATATCGATACTTACTTGCTTGTTTCTTTCTAGATGATTAAATAAAGATTAAAAAACCATTTCGTCCTCAGCATCTTAAGTAAACATTAGCAAAAGTATTAAAAAAAGTTCGATGTCTGCTGTCTATGCATTTAACACATACTTAACTAGTCCAGCTGAGGTGGTAAAGAAGCATATGTCCAGTCTAAGAGCGAACAGTCATGAATGACGGTCAGAAACCAGTCCCTACCCTATACTTCTCCCTTTTATACCCCTGCCTAGAAACTGTGATTTTATGTGATTCGAACAGAAATCACCCGTGTAAAAATATTGTAAGATGTTTTAAGAATATGTGTAGGTATAGTTTTACTTTAATATGGCTGACCCTATTAGATGCTATTCTAAACACCCACCAGTACTTCATTCACTCACCAAAGTTTATAAAAGAAAATTTATTAACTTACGTTCCACACAATTAGCTCATATTTATAAAAATAACTATGAATAACATGTGAACGAATACTAAAAGCGTTACAATAATAATTACTACAGATCGCGTGGCGGTGGTATTTCGACCGCTACGATTGTCTTATTTCATTGACCAGTATAACTAGAGCTGTTATTGTATGTACTAGCCGTGGGACAGCCACGCTTCGGTATAAATGGGCCGGCTCGAAGGGAGTCATTGAAAACCGTTATTAAGTACTTCTTTAGCAGCTTTTGTGTAAGTGAGGTGACCGGAGCCCCAATCACCCCTTTTTTTGTATGCGGAACTACCCTCGGATACCACCCACCAGTGGGGTGGTTATGTCGGACACGAACCGACTAAAAACCGAACGCCGTCTCCAGGTACCAGTAGCCGGGGAACCAGGTATACCCTAGAAACTAAAGACAGGTACCAGACCCGACGTACCTCACGCCATGCCCCATCACCTCTGATTCTAGGTGAAGGCGACTACAAGGAAATCAACTTGGGCGGCGGTAGTCACTATCAAGTAACCGGTCTCCTACTTTGCCCTCTATATCATAAAAAAATAGGTGTGCGATCCTGGTCCTTCGAGCCAATGCAGTCTCGGTTCTTTTGCCTATCTGTTTGTAATTGTGATATCCCGTACCCTAGCTCCTTCGCCCTATCTGTTTTTATCACAATGTACTTTTTAACTACCTCAACTACCTAAGTCCAACTGGCTGTCAGCTGGGTAAAAAAGACACCACGGGGAGGCCCTGAATATGGGGATTGGAGGATGTAATGGCTCGGACAGGTCATGGTCGCATGCCTGTAACTCGAACTGGCTGATGTCGGCAAGTGTGGCCCTCTAACCTACATTTGTTCAATACTTGTAACCTGTACCTACAGTTGTACAATACTTTAAATTTATTTGGTTACTATTTGACATAACAGAGATTGTTGCTTTTGTGTGTGTTGATCTATGACTTTAGAGTTTACATGGAAGACGATTTCAAACAATTTTGGAAATTTTATGAAATAAAGAAAGTTTGAGTTTGAGTTTGAGCTTGAAAGAAATTTTGACATTTCTGTATACATGTTTGTTTCAAAACGCGCGCAAAGACTTCTCCACAAGTTTTAAATATCTTAATATCGAGAACATTCCGAAATATTCATTCAAATGTTAGTTCCAATTTATTGTGTTAAGTAATTAGTTTAACGAACCGTGTTAAAATATTAATCGCTGCAATTAGCCGTGACAAATGTCATGTAAAGTGATTTTTCTATGCTGGTCTTCGCTAGACTACTAATTATAAATACTGCAAATCTACTCCGGCCGGTGGTTGATAATTGGCAACTTTCGGTAGAGGGGCAAACAAGCAGATGGGTCACCTGATGGTAAGTGACTAACCGTCACCCATGAACACCTGTAACTGTGAACACAAGTGCACTGAGTTCCTCCTTCCGGAAACAGGTAAAGGGAGGGGAGGGGCTTTTTTGGGCTCCAGCAACCTTACTTGATAGGTTTGACATTAAAAGCGTGTTTATGGTTCTACTAAGTGATTTGGTTGGACGCGCTAATCTATGAAAAAAAAGTCTAAAAGTAAAACTATTAAATTAAATCCAGATTCATAACAAATGACCGTGCTTCTTACCCTTATTTGTCCTTAGTAGGAATCAAACCCATGACTGGCTTAGCAGTCAAGATCACTAATAAATCATTTTGAGCCTGGAGACTCCTCAAGTATCAAGATGGATAAAAAAATAGTAAAATTCATGCAATATCTTGACTGAAATGTGATGTTAACTTAGTGGGTCCTTTACATTTAATTCTAAGTCAAGTAAACCTGAATGATAGCTCCGATTGTTAAGTTGAATTAATATAACGCATAAAACACGTTTACACCAGCAGAGCCACGACGGCCACAACTCTGTATAATCGCCATTAAAATTGCGTTTGCAAAACTCAACTTTTGTTGATAACTAATTAAGGGAAGCCGCGCATTCCGGCGCCATCGAAATTTTTTACTGAAAATTGTTCGCATTTGGCATTGGTGCCTTTCACCCTCTCGCTCCTAGAGGTTCATCAACAGCCTTTAATAGTCCACTGCTGGACATAAGCCTCTCCATAGAAAGGAGAGGCTTATGTCCAGAGGTTGTTTTTTGTTTTTTTTTGTTCGCTCCTAGAGGTTGTTTGCTATTAAATGAACCGTAGGTATTAAGGTTCCAGTTGGCTATCCCATCCACTTTGAATCAGTTCAGAATCTTGAAACATTCTAGATTTCTTCTTTTTCAACTTTAATTCAAAAATACTAACCTAAGTACCTTTTTAGTAAATAAATACGATGACTAAGGATGTATCCAAAAACAGGAGCAAGCCATATAGTAGTTGCATATAATTTGTAACATTTGACATCACAAGGACATCTTTAGAGCGCCCATTGGTCAAATCAAAGCGCGTACTTATCCGGCCTCCTGTTACACAGTTCCGTCCCTTTTCACGAAAACATTTCCACATACAGCAGGAAACAAGAGGAAATGTTACATTTAAAAAAACCTACTTTGAAAGATGCAGTTTTAAAACAAATATCATATAATCTTGAAGATTTAACATTTTATGCGTTAAGTTCTCGTAATGAGGATTGTCTCGCTATTTCTTACTACGATTTCTTGATAGTGACTCAGACGTAATCGTTGTAAGGTACTTGTATTACCTCACTATATAAAAATGTAACCTAACCGGTATATTGGAATATATATAAAAAATAAACAATGATATTACTTACAGCACTACTATGAAAGTATACTAGGAACTACAATTGTTTGTAAAAAGTATTGAATTCTTTTTAAAGTATAGAAGTAAAATTTTTGAAGTATCAAAGTATTTTTACCGTGGGAGAGCCATGCTTCGACACGAATGGGCCGGCTCCAACGGAGTGATACCACGGCCTCACAGAAAACCTGTGTTAAGCAATTCTTTCGTTGCCTTCCACTGAGTGAGTGAGGTTACCGGAGCCCAAATACCCCCTCCTGCTGACTCAAGCGGTAGGGACTCCAAGGGCCCAAGGCACTTGTGACTTTTGAGTTGCAGGTGTCCATGGGCGGCGGTAGTTGCCTACCATCAGGTGACCCGTCTGTTCGTTTGCCCCCTTATACTATAAAAAAGATAAAACTCGGTCAGTAGTCCGACTTGACTCTTCTTTTTGTTACATCGACGATTGAACTGTTAAAATTTAGAACATACTCGTAGATATTGTTTAAAAATAACCAAAAAAAATTAAACCAAAGACATAAAATTAAAAAGAAGATTTAACGGTCCAATCCTAGTGTGGTAGTCCCTTACTGTCAAGGTAACAGCCTTCCTATGTCGTTAAAATAATAATTAAAAGTTGCCTTTTTGTCTCCAGGTTCAAAAACAACAAAATCTACACATACATAGGCGAGGTGCTGGTTTCCGTGAACCCTTACAAAACCTTGGACATCTATGGCACCCAGCAGATGGCGCAGTACCGCGGCCGGGAGATGTTCGAAGTACCTCCTCACGTATACGCCGTGGCCGATGCGTGTCAAAGAGTACTCAGACAACAGGTGGGTCGCCTATTTGTTTGATACTGACTTTTTGACCAGCGATCCTAAGGTTGCTGCTCCTCTTCTTAAGGCCAGATTGTGTTGGTAAGAGCTTTTCTTAAGGCTTCGAGGAATGATGTGTGAGTTTGTTCAACCAACAGATTTTGCAGCTTTATTGCATTAGTATAGATATAGAGAGGTGGGAGAGGCCTATGTCCAGCAGTGGACTGCGATAGGATGATGATGATGATGAAGATATAGGGTCCAAGATCTTGCACGAAGAGGTAAGTCACAGTAAATAGTGTCTCTGTTCACCGGGGTTTGTTAAAAGTGAGGTAGATGTACAGGAAAGCAACAATTATCGAGGAATAAAGCTCAGGCCATATCTTACATCTATACAAATAAATAAAATTGATTTGTCTGTTTGTAATGTCAAAATAACAGTTTTTTTTTCATGGTTACACGGTTATTTGCACGATACCAATGCCTAAAAACCAGTTTAAATATTTTTTGTGTATCTGTCTATCTGTTCCGGGTAATCTTCAAAACGGCTGGACCGATTTTGATAATATATTGCTACCAGCTAGCTGCCTATACAATGAGTAACTTAGGCTAATTTCTCTGTCAGAAAAACACTGTAAAATTTTGCCCGGTCCGGGAACTTACGATCAAGGACTTGGACTTGCGATCAAGAGGTCAGGGTTTCAAATCCTAACCAGTATACCACCACGTGAATCCACTCCTAACACAAGTAATTTAGCTTAGCTAGAGGGTTGACGGGAAAACTAGTAATTTTGGTTGCTAGTAAAACCAATAAAAAAAGAGCCATATGACTCTTGAGTTGCAGGTGTCCATGGGCGGCGGTAGTCACTTACCATATGTCGATCCGTCAGCTCATTTCTCCCTATACCATAAAGAAACAGCATTAAGCCTGTTCTTTTATTTCAATCTATATATACATATATAAGAGATTTCCACGTATATAGTCACTCATCACGATATCTCTGGAACCATTAGAGCTAAAGACTTGAAATTTGGTAGGAATATTCTTTTCAACGAGTAGAGGTCAGCTAAGAACGAATTTTAAGGAATTAAAAAAATAAATAATTACATAATGTAAATAGCAAAACAACGTTTGCAGGGTCAGCTAGTTATAAATAAACCGTACATCCTACAATATCTATACTAATATTATAAAGCTGAAGAGTTTGTTTGTTTGTTTGAACGCGCTAATCTCAGGAACTACTGTTCCGATTTGAAAAATTCTTTCAGTGTTAGATAGCCCATTTATCGAGGAAGGCTATAGACGAGAGACGCAGACGAAGTTGCGCGGGTCAGCTAGTACTATCATAAGCCAGATAGCTTTTCGTGACCAACGCCATCTACACGAATTAGATGCCCAAGGCCATTCATTTGATTTATTTTTTATGGAGTTTAATAGAAATGTTACTCTATTCATTCCAATAGGATGGTATGCCCAATAGACTAGCGCTATATTAATGCCTTTTTGTCATCCAATCATTGGTGTTAATGATGGCGTAATGGTTTAAGTGGACACCTCGCTGTGAGTGTTGTGGTTCGATCCCTAAATGGAACAACACTTTGTTTTTTGAGGTTGGGTGTTCTTTGTGTCCGTTTCATGTGTTTGTAAGTTCTCCGCGACACAGGATTATATTCCTAGTGCGAGAGTTTTATAAAATGAAAGAAAGAAAGAAAGAGATTTAATTGGCTTTATAACAATGAGTGCTAAAAGTTATGACCATTTATTTTTAGATTACCATTAATAATGTGTAACTTATCTTAATCAGCATTATTGTTTTCTGCCCGCTTCCCAATTTTATTATGGCGCAATGTATCACTACCATCCGAAAGCCAAACCTATGGAACGTTGTCGTTCTGTTACGGGATAAAGGAAGGGAGTAAAAGGGAGTTAGGTACACGAATAGAGCAAGGAATTTAGAGGATGGGATACGTCAAACGATTGGATAATCGGTACTGAGATTTCCGTTGCTTGATGAATCCAGGGTCCCATACCAGTATGCCCTGTGATTGGAAAGGCCACTGGAGCAGAAAAATCCTTTAAAAAAAAATTAATAATAGAAAATTGGTTAATTAACGGTGTCAGAACGGAAAATTACGGAAAGGAAGTATCTATTATCTATCTATCTATTATTAAAAATACCAGTAAATAGAAAAGGAAAGAGAAACGGCAGAGAATTGTTGAAGAATATGTCTGGGACTTTAATAATAATAATAATATTTATTGCTCCAAATTATGTGAATCTTATCCACTTAAAAGCAAACTTATCAATATACCAAGCGTGTCATATTAATTGCCTCCGTTTCTGAACAAGGTTGGAAACCTGTGCTTCAGCATACGGCGCCTCTATCCTTCGGGAGGGGGTATATTTTAAGTTGAGCGTAAAACCATCCGTGCGTACATGTTATTTGGAAACAACATTACGAGTATCTTATCTTAAACAATTTGGTCATGGAATATCTAATTAGTTTGCTTAAACACTTAAAAAAAAAACAGATTTGAATAATACTTTTTGTATTAGACAGAGTATTGAGGAAGATTATAAGCCATAACCATTAGGCTGCGAACACTAGAAGCTGATCAGCGAAAATAAACGAAGGTAAAAATGCGGGGAACGATCGTTATTATTTTTATTAAAGAAACTACTTAAGGTTTAGATAACCACAATGAATCACTATCTTGTGTGTATATAGCAATTATTATAAAGTAATATTGAATGTAAGGATTCAATTATTCGATTTGGCTGTAAGCCAGCCAGCGTTTGAAATCAATTGTGATTCGATTGACCTTATGCTAAGAATTCATTTCTATGTTTCTGCAATTGATACTTACTATGAAATATTTTAATTATATGTGTTTTAATTTTTTTCTTTTAAAATAATATGTATATTCACAATCATTTCTTTGACATAATATGCATCTTAATGCAATCAGGTCGTTGAGTTTACAAAACTGTTTACAAAATTTAGCTTTTGCCCCCCTTTTACGTTCCTCCGAAGGTGGATGATAATGGCTATAAAAATAATTATTTCAGCAGTAATATATGTAACAAAAGACATATATTTTTTTTCACCTCTTTCACTGATGTTGTCTAACATTCTAAATATAAAATCACAACTTTACTGGATAAAAAATAGCTTTGCCCTACTTCCATTTCCACACGATGTTGGGTTTCAATAAACTAGTAGGGAATTGCACTTTATTGGTTTGTAATTGGAGTAGCTATTACTATTTAAAGGACATGTGTAGTTTTGAAAGAAAGAAAGAAGAAAGAAAGAAAATACGTTTATTAGTCACAACACAAACACAGCCAAAAAAGGAATTACAGATATAATATAGAAGAAAAAAAGAAAAGAAACAATTTGCTCAACTGAAGAATAGCACAAACAATAACAAAAACAAACAAGTACAAAAGAATAAAATGATCACTGTGTGTGACTAAAGGGCCACAACTCAGCCTATGCTATAGTCCCTAAAAGTGACCACAGCGCTGATTTTCAGCTGAAGCCCAAAGGTACCTCACGTAGTTAATTATTAACTTTTTTTATGGTATAAGAGGGCAAACGAGCAGACGGGTCACCTGATGGTAAGCAACTGCCGCCACCCATGGACACCTGCAACTCAAAAGTCACAAGCGCGTTGCCGCCCTTGGAGTCCCTCCCGCTCGAGTCAGCGGAAGGGGTTATTTGGGCTCCTGTAACCTCACTCACTCAGTGAAAGACAACGAAAGAACTAGGTTTTATTTATTAAATTTTGGCAATAAATGCAAGTTTTCTTATGGTACAGAGGCAAGGGAACAGATAGGTCAGAGTGCTAGTTTTTTTAACATCGACTTGATCTCGACGGCGAGCGCGTTTAGCGTTGCGATTGGTGGAGATTTCAGTGCGGGCCAATCGTAGCTCCGAATGCGGTCACCGTGACGATCGAGTAGAAGGGAAATAAACTCGAACTTGGCCCTCTGATGGTAAGTGACTTTTGCCGCCATTGACACCTGCAAATCAAGAGACAAACGTTGCCGCTCTCTAAGAGCCCATTCCTCAATCCTGAATAGGAGCATGGAGAAGGTAACCTCAATGACTTCCTAATAAATTATAGTTTAAAAAAAAAAAAACACGCTTTGGTAACTAGCCGAAGTAAAAAGTAGGAATTTTTTAGTTCTGCTAGTTACAAATGGGTGTTATTTAGTTTTTTAAACTATAATTGATTTAAGTCATTAATGATGATTATTTTCTCTCTTAAGACTAAAAAGTAACAAGTAAGTAAGTCACATATGCTCCATCACACGCATTTTAGTACGTAGCAAAAGATACTACCGTATTTTTAGTTTTTTATTTGTTAGAGGGGGCAGACGAGCAGACGGGTCACCTGATGGAAAGTGATCATCGCCGCCCATTGACGTCTGCAACTCAGGAGTGCGGCCTTTTAGGAAGGAGTACGCTCTTTTCTTGAAGGATATAATAAGATATGCAAAAAGCCGTTAATCCTGAAGATACTAGGCTAATAGAAAGCTAAATTTATCAAATTTTTGTATTGCCATCGATCCTTGATAAGTGGGCAAAGTTTCAATTTTTGAAGTGGTTCAAAATCACTTTCAAATGATGATGATTCCTTTACATACACACATAGATACATCATCAGCACACATCAACAGCCTTTAATAGTCCACTGCTGGACATAGGCCTCTCTTTAGAAACTTAAGAAACGTGGTTTTGGCCTACTACTCACACACATACATACATACATACATACATACCAAGCTAATAAAAGCGTATTAAAAAGCAACATAAACATTACTTAACACCGTTTTTTTTGTAGCCGTTCATTCTGATCAAGCCCGCCAAGACGTTCCCAAGTATAGCTTTCCTATGGCCTCAGTACTAACTAGTTGCCCCCCTCCACCCCAATATAAATATCATGTGATGAATACCACATCTGACACATTCGAACAAACATTGGCAGCATGGAATATCTCTTAGTAATGTTAAATCCACTAGACTAATTTATTTACATTCTGTCATTCAATGTTAGATTTCTAAAGTTAAACAGGCTAAGACAAATTGTTACAACACAAACACAATCTACTTCCCCAATTATATTTGTAAACTGACCCAAAACCAGCACCAGCGCTATCAGCAGTTCAATTTAGTGACTGCGTGCGTGGGTGACCCTACCGATCTTATTGTAAATTGCAATAGATACATTCATATATGCGAGTGAAAAAAGCAAATATCCAAGTAGAAGCAGAAGTTGTTTTGGCAAATTTTTGTCACTTAATCTGAAAATAAACCGACTCCGTTATTTTTTTAAGACACGGAACCAACAAACACGCCAGAGATTCCCATCGTAGGTGAGGCACACTGAAAGTCTCTGGATCTGGCCACTTATAATAAAAGAATGAAAAAACAATTAAGGAATTCTTTTTGAATATGTTACTTTTTAATTTGCGAGACTGTCATTTGTTTTGTCATTGTGGCGTCCTTTTGTAAATTGTGTGGCGCTATTAAAAGTCAACTTAAGCTAACTATGCTTAAGTCAACAAGAGAGTTGCCAGAGACTTCTATTGGCATTTGGTGATGAAGCATCATGTCGCAGCTCTGTGTATTCTTGGTTTGGAGAATTTAGAGTTGGACGTGATCATCTCCATGACGAGGTACGTGAAGGTCGGCTGGCGACTGCGGTTACTCTAATATTTAAACCGTACAACAACTTATAGAAACGAACAAAAAAAATCGTGCTTTGTTACGCATTGAAATGAGCTAAGTGCAAAACATTTTACATGTGCATCTGAAGGTTCGGAAGCTTTGTACTCCATGGATACCGCATGACTTAACGGAGGACCAGAAACGACTTCGTATGCAGTGGCGCCGTAAAATGTCTAAAGATAAAAAAAGGTTTTAGTTTAAGAAGCCATTCCATTTACAGCTAGCTATAAACAGATGGCAGGTCGTTTCAACAAATGACATTTTGACACCCTATTATGCTTGAAACTAAAATACTACTTGTTTGCCGGCCATAAACAATGTCATGCCTATTTACCTTCAAATGGCTAGTATTCTAGCTTTGTGGCAGTGACATCGAACTTGGTGCAAAAGATCATAAACCTGGAGCTATTGATAGGACTACCCGTTGTTTTGAGTAACGTTTAGCTATTCGTTTGTGATTTGAAACGCTTTACCACACATTATGTTCGTGGAGGGAGTGTTAAAAGTCAAGCTTAAAATAGGCGACGTTATAACTCTGGGCTACTTTCTTTTTTTTCCATAGACTAGGAGTAATTTCTGTTCGACGAAAAAGGTAATAGACCGAATGATCCAGCAATTTCGAAGCTAATTCCATAAAAGTTTCTGTAATATTTTGAACTGTTTTAGAGTCTATCCAGTCGTGACGAAATTGACATACAGCAAAATTATACATCGTAGCTATGTTAACACAGCTTTGTATATTTCTTGAGTAGTTCAAACTTAGTACTTAGTAGCTACTTCGGCGCTAGCTATTCAGGAGTACAATAAAAATTCTCTAACTAAGAGAATCGTGTAACTTCAGATATGCGATATCGACAGATATACGGATATTAACCTAGTCTTCGGGTCAAATCTTTCATTTGAATCGGGCGGATATTTCACCTATTTTTTTTGTTTTATTTTTGACAACTCCCACATTAAGAACATAGGAGAACAAACACAGGAGTGTTTACAAACATACATGAAACGGACACAAAGATCACACAAAGTGTCGTCCCATGTGAGGATCGGACCCACAACACTCAGCGTAGTAGTAAGTGGCGTGGCGACCGCTTAAACCATTACGCCATCCGTGCAGTCCATTCTGTTCCTCCATACCATCTAAGTTTCTTCTTAAGTTTTTCTGAGATATTTTTGTAAGTTAAGCTAATTCTGAATTTCTGCCTAAAATCCATGGTGGGTAATAATACAATATATAAGTAAAAAACCATCGCTTGTTAAAGCGGATAGCTTTCGGTACCCATCTTTATTGTCATGTATTTTTTTGTTGCAGGGCAAAGACACATGCGTTCTCATATCAGGCGAGTCAGGATCTGGTAAAACAGAAGCATCCAAGTTTATAATGAAGTACATAGCAGCTAACACAACACAAGTGCACAGGGATTATATTGACAGGTTAGTCAAAGTAGAATGAACATGAATGAATGACCACGGTACCGTATTTCGCAACAGCCGTAGTTGTTTAAGAAGGTTTATATAATAACCAAATATCATTTACAGTTCTAAAAAAAAACATGTTTTGTATAAAATGGAATTATACAAAACATGTTTTTTTTTTAGAAAACGTAACATAAACTAAAACATGGTCAATGTGTAGGTAATCAAATTAAACTCATAGCTAGTTAGGTAATCATAACCGATACATTTTGGGTTAAAACAGTTGAAAAAAAAAACAAAACAATCATTATGGATACTATCGAAATTATTAAATGGTCTGAGTAATCATGGAACAGGCCCTTCTCGTATGTATTAGAAAGTCATAAGATGTTGTTACCTGTGTAGGAGCTATCCATGACTGCAACACATTGATTACTGAATTAGTCGCCAGTTCTTAGGAGTATCTGCGTCGGTTTCTTGAGATCGCAAAAGTATGTTCTTGTAGGTTACTCAAGTGAAGTGGTCGACATTTTCGGTCGATTATTTGTACAATAAAGAACGAATTACACACATCATCACATCAACAGCCTATAATAGTCCACTGATGGACATAGGCCTCTCCTTAGAAAGGAGGTTTTGGCCTACTATACCACGCTGGCCAGACGGGTTGGGTAAATTGTTTGTGTCAAGTTTTCCTTTTATTTGCAGTGCTGTTGTCCTGTGTAGTTTTTTCCCTTAGTCGACTATTACGATTCCCACGGGATGAATAGGGGTGGTGATATTTCGTATTCTTAATCCGTCACCACACGGAATTACACACAACTACACCTTATTGTAAGAATCGTCGTAACTCGTAAACATATACATACATAGAAAACGTCCTGACGTTTCACATAGTTAGTTTTGGTGAACACAAGAAGATAACTTAATTAATACAATAAATATCACAATTCTGATGTAGTGAAGGACTCGATCAACACAAAAACTGCAATATTGTACTGTAAAGTTATTAAAAGCCGATGTTAACAGTGTACAAGTTCAAACATACGCGCCCTTGACACTTTAATTTTGACATGAGTGGTTTTGAGAGTTGAATTTGCATTTTGAGAGTTCTGTGTTTGGGTGTAATTTGTCTATAAATGTATGTATTAAGAAATATATAAGTATGTTTATCATCAGTCTGGTTTCCAATGTATTTACAGGCTTAGACCGTTTAGGATTAGACGCCCATGTGGGAGATGTGTGAGGTTATTATTAGTAATTTTCAAAAATAGATATGAAAATAAACTTACTATCAATATACTTAAAGTTATTGACGGTCAAGTTAAATTGGTTTACTCTTGGTTTACAGGGTCAAAAACGTCCTAATTCAGTCAAATTCAATATTGGAAACCTTCGGCAACGCAAAGACCACACGCAACGACAACTCCTCACGTTTCGGCAAATACATGGACATACACTTCGATTATAAAGGAGATCCAGTCGGAGGTCACATAAGCAACTATCTGCTGGAGAAGAGTAGAGTAGTTAGCTTGCAGCCAGGCGAAAGGAACTTCCACTCGTTTTATCAGGTACGTCTTTCAACTTGAAGATGTTTAAATAAATATTCCTTTACATTTACATGCCAAAAGTGGGTAAAATATGAAGAATACTAACACTTCCTAGATCTATAATTGCCATATTTATGTTAAATAAATAAATCTATTAACCAATACAAATTATATTTATCTAAACGATAAGCATTCGCTGTTTGCTTTTTATTTCTTAAAAAAAGACAACTCCCGCACTAGGAAGAAATCCTGTGTCGCGGGAGACTTTACAAACATACATGAAACGAACACAAAAACGCCCAGACTCAGAACCATAATTTGTGGATCACACAAAGTGTTGTCCCATGTGGGGATCGAGCCCACAACACTCAGCGACCGCTTAAACCACTACGCAATCCGTGCAGTCAAATCTATGTCAGAAATGGGTCTAATAACTAAACAAGCGAACGATCTCCACCGTATTACGGCAATAGGCCTTAGCGTTGTTCGGGAAGAAGCTTGCAGCCCCTGGGATAGGGTCTGGATAGGCACGCCCTCGATCCGAAGAGAACCTTAAAACCACATGGTCCGGGTTTTTGGGCGTTTGAGACCGGCCGTCGAGGTGGCACTTTGCCATCTCCTTCGAGAGCCGGGTATCCAAAGGGATTTACACCAAAATTGTGTACGTTGTGTGTTTGTACCCCGCTTACCACTGTCTCTGATGATGCAGCCTTACCGTATAAAGCTTTTGTAACTATTACGTGTATGATCGTAATATTCTATTGCATATAACAATAGATTGATGTAGTAATGTTTATAAACACATGCTTATATCATGGCCGTACGCTATGATTGCAAATGACGTATGTTTCGACTATTGTCTGCAGGGCTTGTGCCATTGTTGTTGTATATAAAAACGCTCTAATTATTGTAAATATTAAAGTTATGTGATGACTGAGGTATGCCCTTTGTTGTCCCTTATATTTATTACTTTAGTACTAATTAGGTGTACACGTATTTTTTCTTTTCTTATTATATGAAATGAAATGATACTTTAATTGCAGGAATATGGTACATGGGCTGTTTATAGTTATTAGAAGAGAATCACATATTTCGTCAGTCTGTTCTGACATGCAAAATTTGAAACATACATGCATATTACAACAAAAGATTGGTTTAATAACAAACTACTAAGCTCATGTCAATAAACAATTTACATAATGTCAAATATATAATTGCAATGTCAAATTTTTAATCCAATAATTTATTTCTAATATAGAACACAACATACAATAACATATTATCAAGTGCTTTTGTATTTATCGCTCGTTTAGGTATTCGGTCACTGAGTATATCATTTTTTCCAAAAGCCATGTTTTCAATTTCCTTTTAAATTTCAGTAGGGGCAACGCCTTTATGGTTGGTGGCAAGCTATTAAATATTTTGATACACATATTATAACAATTTTTTTGGAATAGTGTAGTTCTGGGAACAAAATCCAGGACTAGTCTTTCACTGCCCCGAGTGTTGCGTGGGAACATATCTTTTGCCTTTTTAAATAAACCAGGGTCACTTTTAACAAAAACACTTACTTCAAAGATGTACAAACAGGGCAACGGTAATATTTCATATTTTCTAAAATAAAGTTTGCAAGATTCATAAGGAGGAATGCCCACCATAGCCCGAACACATCTCTTCTGGGATAAAAACGCTCGAGTAGCATCTACTGAGTTTCCCCACAACAATAGACCGTATCTCAATACAGAACCTACGTTATAGACCGTTATAGACCCGTAGTTTAGACCCAAAAGTTATCTTGTAGCTTTTGGCGGCGACTGGGTTTATATAGATTTTGTTCATTCACGATTATTTAGGATGAAAGGATACACCTGGCTCCCCGGCTATTGATACCTGTGACGCCGTGTGGTTTTTTGATCGGTTAGAGTCCGATGGTATTCGAGGGGGTTTCCGCACAGAAAAAACAGGATGTAAAATAAAATTAGGTTAGTTCTAAAACCGGTGTAAAGCAATTCTTTCGTTGCCTTTTCACCGAGTGAGTGATGCTGCCGGAGTCCAAGCCAATTTTAGGAGGAACAACTCCCAGGGGCTGCAACTCAGATGCCTCCTATTTGCCCTCCTGTGTCATAAAGAAGAGAAATCGATGTCCGTCACCTTACATCTAAAAACGTATACCTACGCAATATCTCATGAAAATATTAAATGTTTAATATTTAATGTTTGTATGATCTGCAAATATATGTTATTAAATATTCATACAAATTATATTTTTAAATATATTTATGTAAAAAGAAAACCAAATACATTTAAAAATATAAAAAATAGTGTCCCATCGGTAACGGATACAGGGACTAAGATACCGGAGGTTAGGACTTCGGAGACAGAAACCTCCCCACAATACGTGCCGTATCGAGGAGAACTGCTTTCTGCATCAGGGCCTTAATCCAGCTCCCTAACGCAGCAAAGTATTAATTATTATTTTAATCTGTTTATTAGTTAAGGAGTGGGAATTTAACAAATAAACTTTATTCGTATTTATAAAATTACGAGAGAGACGTACCTCAACTAGAACCGATGATGTAGAAAATTAACGATATGAAACATACAGAAGGAAATGACCTTTGAGTATATTACAAGAGGGTTGAAATTTATGTGATTACCAACGCCCCATGATAAATTAGTACACCAATATCTTCCATTAAATTTTTTATCGAACGATAAAACGGCGGAACCGACTTCAAAGACTTAAAAAAATCATGCATATTTTTTTTCCAGTTCTTAAGTTCAAACAACCCATTATTGAAAAAATATAGCCTAAGCTCAAGTTCCTCATACAAGATACTGGGTAGCGAGCGAGCCACAGCCCAGGACTCAAAACTGTACTCCGTAACCAACAGCGCTTTCAACGCACTCGGTTTTGAGTCCTCAGTCATTGATGATATTTGGAGCATCGTGGCGGGGGTGACACTATTGGTGAGTACTACATAAAAAAATTAGTAATTTTTCAATAGCGTGTCCAAACCTAGGTTTATCTTTAGGGTTCCGTAGTCAACAGGGATTCCTTACAGATGCGCCTTGTCCGTCTGTCTGTCCGTCAGTCCGTCCGCGGCTTATCTCAGATACTATAAGTAGCTAGAAAACTGTAATTCTTATATTGGATGGATAAAGTGGCTAATGGAAAGCTAAAAACTATTTATTCTTAATCTCAGTGATATGATTGCGACATATTAAAGTCTAAAAAAGCTAGCCCGTTGAATATAACAACTCGGTTAGTTTAAGAGTAATAGACGTTCAGATTGTAAAATGTAATTTCAAACAGAATACAAAAAGAAAAGGAAAAGTACATAAAAGTAAATGAAAGTCTTGTTGGCTCATAATAACTACGGAACCCTAAATGAGCGTGGCCCGGTACGTACTAGGCCCCTATTTTTTTAAACATTTTAAAACCAATTAAAAGAAAATAAAATTATAAAATATCATTTTTAATTTTTAACGAAATAGTTTTTCATCAAAGGCTTTTGACCCTGCAGAGTCTTATTTTAATCGATTTAATGTATAGTAAATATTTTATGTAACTTTCAGGGCGAGCTAACATTCACAGAGACACAAGACAACCACCTCAACATTGGCGGCCCACTGAAACAGTGTGTGAACGCCCTGGGCATATCTGAACAAGCATTGCGAACATCCATGGCAGGGAGGGTACTGTCGGCTGGTGGGGAACTAGTCAGCAAGGAGCATACTTTGTCAGATTCCAACTATACAAGGCTTGCTTTGGCGAAGGCTGCTTATGATAGGCTGTTTACGTGGATTGTTCAACAGGTAAGATTAATTAAAGACAAGACATTTAAACTATCAAATCGTCAATAAAGATGTTGATACTATAGTCGATTGTTATTAAGATAATAGTGACGAACGATCTGCGCCCCTCAAGCTGACCAATCAGGTTCCAAGTTTTCGTACGACACGATAATTTTTAGAACCTGATTGGTCAAGGGGTGGGGTTTAGCTATTCGTCACTATTTTCTTAACGCGAATGGATCATAATCATAAATGTATGTTACGTTGTAACTAAATGAATAATTGTGAAGTTTTACTTGTCTATGGAGAACTGTCAGGCTATGGGTTATTAACGTAGTCGAATGCGATGCGTTTTAGGACGAATTTTCTTTTCATAACGAACTGAATACTTATCCGTATTCTAATATTAAGCGCATCTTGAACGGATCCTAAAATTTATTATATTTTAGTACCATCTTAAACCTCCTGTCTAAGCAGTGGCCTATATCCAGCAGACCCCTTGGAAACGGGCGGTTGTAGATCGGCACAGGCATATTATAGATTTTGTATGGGTTTGATTTTTGTTAAATTTATTTGCTTACTATTTGACAAAACAGAGTTTGTTGCTTTTGTGTGTGTTGATCTATGAGTCTACATAAAAGACGATTTCAAACAATTTTGAAAATTTTATGAAATAAAATGAGTGAGTTTGAGTGGACTGTTAAAGACTGTTGTTGATGATGATGATGAAATTTTAGTACGATCAAAAACACCTACATTTTTTTTACTAAAATTAAATATTTTAAAAACTTATTTATTAAGTTACTGAGTCTTATGTTATATATTTGACTTACTTTATAATGAGATCAAACCCCGAGTCTTATATTAAAAAAAATCATCCGCAGTGCAAGTCGAAACATGTCGTTAATATCGGAAACTAACTAAGAAAAAGCAGCACTACACTAGTTCATACATAAATCTAACTTTCAGATAAACAAAGCCATCGATGTTCCAGCTGGCACTTATAAGAGCACACTGATTGGTGTTTTGGATATCTACGGGTTCGAGATCTTCGAAACCAACAGCTTCGAGCAGTTTTGTATCAATTATTGTAACGAGAAGCTGCAACAGCTGTTCATTGGTATGTTTAGAATTTGGTTTATTTGTTCGTGCTGTCTCTAGTGCTAATAAATTGCAATAAAACAGAAGAAATGTGGGAATAAACAATAGCTCTCTACTGATAATCTTCCTAAATGGGTAAAACTTCCATAGAGAGAAGGTTTTAAGATTCCGTTTGACATATTTTTTGCAGTAGTGTAAACTATGTTGTAATTAATCTGAGCTGTTAATAAGATCAATAGAATATCCACCACTGATGGGTGATGAATGGATACATCATCAGAATATTTTTTATTTAAATCTGAAGAACTTTAATTAATTGTCCTGACCCTAACTTGAAGTTGACAAAACAGCACATAGTACCCGTAATATTTTGTGGCCGTAGTTCTTCCCTGTTTAAAAGGGTGTATGCCTATTTTATTTCATTTTGTCTCCCGCTTTGCTAAGGAGGAAAGTGGATTTATTGTATTTCCAACTCCTCCAATTTTCTTCTGAGTAATTTTGTTGCGGGTTCAAAGACAGTTAAATTTGTTGGATCCCGCAACGAACTTCAATTTGCTGTGGATCCTGGTGTACAGGAGTTACAGTGGTGGGCGTGTGGGTGGGATTAGCCCAAGAAAAAAAACCAGCAAAATACAGTATAGACCATATGCTTTTAGAACATAGTTACGTAACGATCAAGCCCCGCCCCTGACCAATCAGGTACCAAGAAATTATCGTTTCGTACCAAATTGGTTTTGTCAGTCAAACATGTTTTAACTTCCAGAGCTTGTGCTGAAGCAAGAACAAGAGGAATACGCCCGCGAGGGTATCCAGTGGACGCCCATCAAGTACTTCAACAATCGCGTGATCTGCGAACTGGTAGACGCACCTCACCAGGGTATTATTGCCATCATGGACGAGGCCTGCCTCAATCCAACTAAGGTATTTTAAACATTTTTCTAGAAAAAGTTTTCGGCAGAAGCCACTTCGAGTTTACATTCACCTGACCTGGTTGGCTTTGGTTATACCTAATCTATTAGGTGAAAGCCCCTAGCCTTCATTACCTTTCTTTTTTTAATTTCACGTTCTTGCAATATATACTTAACTAATCGTTCGATGGCGTAATGGTTTAAGCAATCGCTTACTTCCTACAGCGCTGAGTGTTCTGGGTCCCAAAGTTTCCGGTTGACGGAGAGTTGCTGTTTCCAAAATGTGATTGTTTAATACGCTTTTGCCTATACATTTAGTTTAGACATAAGAGAATTTATGTTAGGTAATAAAAAAATGCATTTAGACCTTAAATTAGATTTAGTTTTCTTCTACAATAAAATCGTGCATATTATTTGACACGTTTAAAGCCAGTAATTTGTTTTCACCAGATATCAGACCAGCAGTTATTGGAAGCCATGGACCGACGCTTGAATGGACACAAACACTACACATCGAGACAGCTCGCACCCACAGACAAAAAACTTAAACATGGCGTCGACTTTAGAATCACGTAAGTTTCTACCTATAAATGTAAAGACTTGCCTCGCGTAGAATACGGCGTCGATAAAGCAAGTTATTAATGTATAAAGCATATTATGTTAGGTTATTTATGAGTTTTATTTGTTAAACTAAATATCAAACGTAAAAATAATACGATACCAAAGTATAAACGTCGCAAGTCGCATGATGTCAGGCTTCATACTTCAGGGTCCCCGTCGGATCCGATACTCGTCTGGAAACCCAGAAATTATTCATCAACAGCTTATAGCAATACACTGCTGGACATAGGCCTCTCTTTAGAAAGGAGGTTTTGGCCTACTATACCACGCTGGCCAGACGGGTTGGTAGAGGGTTTGTGTCAAGTTTTCCATCTTTTTGCAGTGCTGGTGTCCTGCGTATTTTGCTCCCTTAGTCGGCTCTTACGACACTCACGGGATGTATAAGGGTGGTGACACTCCGTATTCTTATTCCGTCACCACACGAACAACTCGATTCAATTCTATTCAATTTTTTTTTTTAAAGACAACTCCCGCATTAGGAATATATCCTGTGTCGCGGGGGATTTTACAAACATACATGAAACGGACACAAAGAACACCTAGACTCAGAACAACAATTTGTGGATCACACAAAGTGTCGTCCCATGTGGGGTTTGAACCCACAACACTCGGCGTAGTAGGAAGCGGCGTGGTGATCGCTTAAACCACTACGCCATCCGTGCAGTCATTTACAATTTTAAAAAATCAATAATTACTATTGCTTATCATGAAAAGCTATGCATGAACAGTCAATTATAATATTAAAAAGTAGTAAACAGATGAATGTGAATGTGCAGTCACTACGCGGGCGACGTGACGTACGCGTGCACCGGCTTCATGGACAAGAACAAGGACTCGCTGTGGCAGGACCTCAAGCGCCTGCTGCACTCCTCCACCAACGCCTCGCTCTCCAACATGTGGCCGGAAGGGGCTACCAACATACAGAAGGTAAATAAATATAACATAACTTCACACATCTCACACACGGCAGTCTGATCACGGCAGGATAAGCCCATAACATACTAACCAGTTGACATGCGACAAAATCTAAGTGAACTGTGAATGAACGATGATTTATCATTCGATTTGATCGATCGATTTGAACGATGATTGATCGTTCGTAGGTTAGGGTTACTAGTTACTCATGCATTGTTGCCAACAAGCTGTTTTCAGACGATGCATAAAGACATCCTATTTGACAGTAAATCTAGTAATTATTTTATTATATATAGCTACCATTCCCTACATGATAATTTAAAAAAAATGCTAGATTTACTGTTAAATAACTTACCTACCAAATTTACCGACATAGTCTACCGGATCAGCAAGCTGAAGTGGCAATGGGCTGGCCATATTAGCCGCAGAACCGAACCTTTGGGGACAACGAGTTCTTGAGTGGAAACTGCGTCTCGGCAAACGTAGTGTAGGACGCCCACAGGCCAGGTGGAGTGACGATTTGCGCAAGATGGCTGGCAGGAGATGGATCCGAGAAGCCCAAAATCGATCTAAGTGGCGTGCAATGGGAGAGGCCTATGTCCAGCAGTGGACTGTGATAGGCTGATGATGAACTTGCCTACCTAGCAACCCTAACCTACGTTCGCAAAAATCGAATGATAAATCACAGTTCACTGTAATTTTGTCACATGTCTAGTATCCAGACTACAGATAAACATATTTCACCAAATTACTCCAAGACGTAGAACAAATAATCATCATTATCATGTATTTATATGTCCTGGGTGGGAATCGAACCCACGCAGGCGGCAACGTACTAGTGAGTGGCAGGTAATCTATCTGCTTGGTTGACATAAAGAAAATTTATGAATATATTTCACAACCCATACTACTAAGTTTGAGTTTACCGTTGTGTATTATGGCAACATCAAATTTTTACAATGAACCGTGGTCCCCACAGACGTCGAAGCGTCCTCCGTCGGCCGCGACGCTGTTCCGCAACTCGATGTCGTCGCTGGTGTCGGGGCTGCAGAGCAAGGAGCCATTCTACGTGCGCTGCGTCAAGCCCAACCCTCTACAGACGCCCAGCACCTGGGATGACCAGCTGGTAAGTCCGGCTACCTAAACGAAACGAAAAGGCGAAAACTTATGGCGGTGTTCTTCGTACAGTATACATTGAATATTATAAATTTCTTAATAGGTACGACATCAAGTCGCGTACCTTGGCCTAGTGGAGAACGTTCGAGTGCGTCGCGCCGGGTTCGCGTCCCGGCAGAGGTACGATAGGTTCCTCAAGCGGTACAAGATGCTATCACAGTACACGTGGCCCAATTTCCGCGGCAACTCGGATAAGGATGCTGTTATGGTGTTGCTGAGAGACCTTAACGTGACAGATGTACAGTTTGGACACACGAAACTATTTATAAGGTGAGAATAGTGTTTACTTAATACCCAAATCCCCCCCCCCCCCCCCCATACCGGGCGCCTTATATGAAAATCGGTTCTTAAGGGGTAAACTCCAAAAAACTTTTCTTGGTGGGTGCTTACTACATAAATAGCATCAGCTACCAAAATTTCAAGTTTATTGCCCAGCGGTTTTTGCTGTCTTGATAAATCAATGCGATTTTGCAGGTTTTGTCAACGCCATCTATGATTTTAAAACAAAATAATTTAAATTACCTTTTTTCGACGCTGATCTCATTTAAATTTACAGAGATTGTTTCATTTCTAATGACGAAAACTGATAGGGAATATAACTTGTTTGTTTTGAATTAGTAATTCGAAATTGGAATACAAAGATTTTAAATCACCATACCTACTTTCCTATAAACTCTTAATTCTAAATAGAAATCTAGAGTGCTGTCATTTACTGTTGTACTTTGCTGACTGCTATGTTGCGTGCGTAATGTTATACAGGAGCGCCAAGACCTTACACAGCCTGGAGGCTGCTCGCGCTGAGCTGATCCCGTCCATTGTCATCCTGCTGCAGAAACTGTGGCGCGGGACCATCGCGAGGATGAGGTACAAGAAGATGAAAGCTGCTTTAGTTATATTCAACGCTTGGAAGTGAGTATTTTACTTTTTTAAGTTACAACTTCTTATGGGAGGGGAAACCGCTTCGTTACGTAACGTGTGACGGCGCCAGTCTGTCTGGCTTTCCTTTCTCTCACACATACGGCAGCGGTAGGCAGGCTCCTCCTCTCTCACTCTAACCCACAGCGCTAGCCGTATTTCGAACAGACGCTTTACATAAAATTAAAGTAATAACCTAAGCTTTTTCAAAGTTAAACAATTTTAATATTAAATAGTTCAACTTAGATTAGTTTAAGTTATCACTTTTGTCGGGCGTCCCGAGACGCAAACGTTTTTATTTTACAAACCAGTCAAATAACTGATGGATATGAACTTTATGCTGTATATCATAAGCTTCACATTCCTTTAAACTTCCTGCTAAGCATTTACTAAGCGTAAATATTTTTTTATCTGACAACACCGATAAAATTTTGCAAAGGAGAATGCCCATTCCCCCTACCATATTGCGTCAGGTACTTTGACATTAATAATATTTTTTTATTTATGTGTGAAATGATATTCAACCCTCTTTTTAACCGCATTTAAAAGCTATCAAAACCTCATAGATAATTATCAATTGACGACGGGCCTGTTGGTCTAGTGGTTAGTAACCCTGCTATGTCGGAGGCTGTGGGTTCGATTCCCACCCAGGACAAATATTGTGTGATGAGCACGGTCAATTGTTCTGTGTTTTGGGTGTAATTTATCTGTAATATGTATGTATTTAAAAACATATAAGCAGGTTTATCAGCAGTCTGGTTACCATAATACAGGCTCTGTCTAGTTTAGGATCAAACGGCCGTGTGTGAGATGTGGTAATATTAATTCCTACTGCCATAAAAAAATGTACGGGTTCCCATACAGAAATGAGTCCTTTAACAATTAAGGGAAAATGACTCATCGATTCTCTTTTCGTTTTATTACATAAATAAAATGTTGAATTATAATTAGTAGCCGAATAAGTAAGGGTTAATAACTCATTTAAAAAAAACTTTCAAAGGATAAAAATTTACATTTTTTAAGTGTTAGACACACTGTAAACTGTAACATATCAATCGGGTCCAGTTACTATTTAAAAAAAGGTACGTTTTTAATAAAGCACTTAGACTGCATTGTCGTGTTACCTTTGCTTGAATAAAAGTGAATAAAGAAAACAAATTTGAATGGCGGGAATACTAATAAAATGCGATATTGTTATTTAGTTAGGAATTATAAGTATGAGAAGGTATTAGAGGAGAATTTTAATACCAGGGGTAAGTGAATTAGCAGTAAGCAAACGACATTTTAAGATTAAAGTTGAACGCAATTGGTTAAAAAAGTTACGAAACGACAATGTTATTACGTAGGCCGTGACACGTCCATCGATACTCAAAGTGAACGCAAATTTGGATTTGCTTATGTGAAATGAGATGTATATAGTAAGATATCGAGTCCGGTGTCCGTCCGTCAGGCGCTACCAGTACCGGCGCTACATCGGCTCGCTGCAGGCGGAGCTGGCGCGCGGGCGCGGCGCGGTCCGGCGCTGGCCGCCCGCGCCGCGCCGCGTGCCGGGCGCGCTGCTGCAGGGCGCGTACCGCCGCTGGCGCGCCTACCTCACGCTCAAGCCCATCCCGCGCGACCAGTGGCCGCAGCTCAAGGTCAAGATCTGCGCCGCCAGCGCGCTGCGCCGCCGCCGCGCCGACTGGGGGCAGGCGCGCGCCTGGGCCGGGGACTACCTCGCCGACTGCCACTACAACGCCAAGGCCGGTCGGTACCCAGCTCTACAGCCTCGGGATTGTATTACGTTCGTGTGTTTCTACAGTATATCTTCTTTCTTTATAGCTATCTACCGATCCCAGTTCGCGGCTCTCCAAAAGTCACAAAAGATCGGGCGGCCGCTGTTCTCGTGTAAGATCCACAAGTTCAACCGTTACAACAAACTCGCCGAGCGGTGTCTGCTCGTCACGGACTCGTTAATATTCAAACTAGACGCTAATACTTTCAAGCCGCTCAAGAAACCTACGCCTATCACTGAGGTATGACACGTCATACACGCGACATACAGTTTAACCATACACGCCTCTGATCCGTTCCCTCACATACCCGTCTAGTAAAAACATCCACAACATATCGACAAGTCGAGACAACCACGTAGTCCACATACACGTTTAATTCATACGCGAACCTTTTTCGTCTTACCATTCTTACCGACACACCCATCTGTTCTACACACTAATTCACATCGGAATAGATGCATGATCTATACATCAAACATACCCTCGTTATCCAGATAATAAAATAAAATAAATAAAAAAACCTTTTATTCCATGCATCTACAAAATATTCGTTTTTACATGACATGCTTGATTGTTAAATATTATTATAATTAAGTGTAAATTTTTAATTCCATTTAACTTCATATTAAATGTAAACAATAATAAATTATTATGGCAATCGTTTCATAATTTTAATTAAGAGTACAATAAAATTCAATTCGGTAATAATAGAAAATTTTAATAGTTCATCATCATCATCAGCCTATGTCCAGCAGTCCACTGCTGGACATAGGCCTCTCCCATTGCACACCACTTAGATAGTTATCTCATACTAATGTAATAAATTTTAAAAACTTGTATGTTGAATTTATATTCACAATCTCATCTATTAATTTGGTTTTTTTAGGTTGGAGCTCTAAGGATAATGAGTTCTGATGCTCAACTGGTAGTCATTAGTATACCTTCAGCGAAGAACGACTTGGTAGTGGGGCTCGTTGCAACACACGACCTCGTCGGAGAATTGGTCGGCGTGCTAGCTAATAGATATAATATGTGAGTATTGGTTTCTTAGCATTGCTTTATTTTATATACCTCAGCCTATGCTTGTCCACTGCTGGACATAGGCCTCTCCCGATGATTTCCAGCGGGGACGGTTGATTGCGGCCTGCATCCAACGGTTTCCGGCAACCTTTACCAGGTCGTCCCACACTGCGCTTTCCAGTACGTGGTCTCCATTGGAGAACCTTGCTGCCCCATCAGCCGTCAGTTCTCCTTGCTATGTGCCCTGCCCATTGCCACTTGAGCGCGCTGATCCGTTGGGCTATGTCGTATGCTTTGTTTTAATCGAGGGTTAAAGCACAGGGAGGTTTATTTTGTCTAGCTGAGCCAGATGGACTGAGAGAGTTAATTGGGATGGAAATCAAGTGGAATGGTATAACTTGGGAGAAGCTTATGTTACGCATTGTATTACACTAAGGCGATTGATCTTCTTCAATTTTGATCTGTAATGATTTTTCCAATTTATCGGTCGTTTTTAGTAACCGATAATAACTTATTTGATTTCCTTGTGAGTTGTGGAAATAGACTTTTTTTTTTTTTTTTTTTTAACGTGTGGAAATCCCCTCGGACCGTCACCCCACCGGCGTTTGCGGCGGGGTGGTGTGTCGGACTCGGACCGACTAAAACCACACGGTGTGCCACTCTGCGCCTGTAATGGGAGGGATCCGGGAACAGCTGTTATTAAGACATCCGGACCCCTCCTAGCGCCGGCCCGCTCCTGTTGCGGGCCCCGTCTCAAAATTTTCCTCTCTTTAGGCGACGTCCGGCACACGCGGACGCCGCCCCCTCGCGGCTGGCCAAACTAATGCGGGTGGAGGGGAAACCCACCCCGTCCAACCGCGGCCACACTCAGGGCGGCATGAGGCGGTGATAGGCGCGCCTCCGCCGCCCGGTTCGCCGGCGGCGGATCGGGTCCGAGTGGAGGTCGTCCTCCCGGGCCTTCTCCGCCGCCTCCTTCTGCGAGATTACTTCCTCGCAGAAGGTTGCGACCGCGGTAAAACAACTGTCGCTACCGGCCATGGAGCGTACTACGGCCGGTAGCGAGAGATCCACTCCGATGACTGCAGTGAGGGTCCGGCGCTGCGTCGCCCATGCGGGGCAGATCGCCAGCGTGTGCTGGGCCGAGTCCTCACTGCAGTCGCAGTGGTGGCAGGCGGGACTCAGTTCCCTCCTAGCGACCGAGTGCAGGTACTTCCGAAGCAACCGTGCCCGGAAAGCACCTGCGTCAGCTGGAAGGTAAGGGTCCCGTGCTGCTGCCCTGCCCACTCGGCGATGACCGGCTGGCGAGCCTCCACGGCGGCGAAGCCAGCGCGTGGAGTCTCCAGCCGGAACGACCAACGAGCCATCGTGGCTCGGCGAGCGGCTTCGCGCCACTCGCGCACATCCTCGGGCGGAGGGCGAAATCCGCTCTCCGCCCGGGAGTCAGCCACTCGCCGATAAACTTCGGCGAGCACTTCCGCCTCCAAATCCCACGGGGGAGTTCCGGCCAACGCGCATGCCACCTCCGTCGAAACGGTGCGGTAACCGCGTATGGCTCTGACCGTCATTACCCCCTAAGGCGCCAGAGGCGTGCCCTATTCTGGGCGGTGAGAGCCGCCGCCCACACCGGTGCACCGTACAGTGCCATTGACCGGACAACCCCCGTGTACAGCCGTCTTGTCGCGACGCTGGGTCCACCCAAATTGGGCAAAAGTCGCCCTAGGGCAGACGCAGCGCCGACCAGCTTTGGAGCAAGCTGTCGGAGTTGTGGAAATAGCCTATTCCATTGATCGGGTATTATTTGTGTTTTGTTAGTGGTATTAGTGTTTAAAGGAAGCGTTATTGATGTGTAATATCTTCCTCTCGCTTTCTTGTAATCTGTGGGAGTAATTTCGTGAAAAGGGAGTTAAAGGGACGGAAAGTGGAATAGGTAACTGGGGAAGTGCACGCTGTTTGATATAACTTGTGCGCTCTGGGGTGTTACAGTTGGCCGTGGTGAAATGTTAGTGTACATATTATATGCGTCTTCCACATACGGCGGAACGAAGAAACATACTGAAGCGCCATCTAACGAAGACACACTGAACTACGGAGTAACTGCTAATCCTATATCGCGATATGAGTAATTCGCACACCGATTAGCATATATACAACTTCCCAACATCAACCGTCGGGCCTCGGTCCGCCAGGAACGATCACCTTGTCTGGTCGGAGGATCCTCCCTTTGTGTTGGAGGGACATGATACCCGTTCCTCCACAAAAACATTCTAAGTTTTGAGTAGTGATTATAATCGTCGTTCCCGATCGGTCGGCAGGTTGACGTCGCAGGAGCTGTCGGTGGAGGTGGAGAGCGGCGCCACGACGCGCTGCACGCTGGGCGGCAAGACGCGCGCGCTGCAGGCGGCGCTGGGCGCGCGCGACCCCCTCGACCTGCCGCCCTTCACGCACGCGCACAACGTCATCACCTACCACCCCGCCAGCGCGCGCGCCTAGCCACTCACACTACACTTACATAACGTGGATCTTGAAACAAAACTCTAATCTACATAACCTATTCACGGTTGTTGACATTATCGTGTATGCCGTGTGACGTGTTCATGAAATAATTGGTATACGTATATATTATTTAAGTAAGCGCATTCAAATATAGTGTACCGCCTGATTGATAAACTTTCACCGACAATACCGTAATGATAAAACACGTTAATAAATCCGACTTCCCTTAAAAAAACTTATATTTATGATTCTTTTAAAAACAATAACTTTTCTAAGAATATCACGGGAGCTTTGATAACTCAAACGACGCTTTACCTAAACTTGATAATCATTTTTGGGTCACACATTTGAATCAATCGAATTTGCAGCTCTCCGGCGCTTTAGTCTTAAAATCACGTCATCCATGTATTAAAATTTCCTTATCGATTTTAATTAATATGGCCTTAGAAAGTAACGTTATGTGATTTAAAATTAATATACAAATTAATGAAATGTATAGTGAGTTAAAATAACAAAATATAAAGCAACTTTTTAAAAATTTATATGATACACAGATACTTTACAATCAGTACTAGAGATGGAATGGATATCCAGACATTAATTAGTATACAGACTAAAATTACTATTCGGATACGAGATATTTTAATTTACAAAAATATTATTAATACTTGTATTATAAATTATACTTATTTATAATATATAAATACCACTTTTAGCCGTTATTAGAGGTTAATGATTTTAAAAAAGTTACTAGAGTTTTTTTATGTAGAGCTCGTTCAAAGTTCAAGAAACCCCCGTAGTTTTATCGTAAATACTACAATTAATTTATTCGACGTATATCCGACTATTGGAGATTATAGTTGGCTGGATATTCTATCTAGTTGTTGGCTGGATATAAACAAATATACTTTTTATCTTTAGTATATTCGCGGTATAAAAAAAAATGAACGAGCGAAATTAAAATGTAAAATTGTACAAAATAAAATTTTATAAAATCATTTTCAGTAAAGCGAGTCTATTAATAATTTAAATGTAAGTTACCTCATTAACTTATTGGAGTAACTTAAAAGTTATTTTTAGCATTGTAATGTCTTAATATTTATCTTTTCTTAAATAACATAATATCAATCAGATGTATTTATTTTGACTCCTGGATTTATTATATACTATCCCCTCAGTTTTATCTGCCTTTTAGTCATAGCCCAGCACTTCTTCTATGTCCTGTATAATACACAATATGAGATGAGAAATTTTCAAAATATATATTTTTGTCGTGGAAAATCTTTTCCCAAATAAGAAGTATAGAAAATGGTTTAAAATACTTAAAATACCAATAACTTGTACCTAATAATAGCGTTGCACAGCTAATACTGTTGTCATTATTAAGTATTGACGATTAAAAAGCAAGGCCAGATCCAGAGAGGGGGGGGGGGTTGTCATGTCTTACCGATTGTACTACTTATTTGCAGGGTACTTTTGTCAGGGTACTCACACAGGTTATCTACCCGCCGTAGATGGCCCGAGGTACGTCGGGGCACCAGGGATTTAATTTCTAGGGTACACCTGGTTCCCCGGCTACTGGTACCCGAGACGGCGTGCGGTTTTTAGTCGGTTCGAGTCCGACATAGCCGCCGGAAAGTGGTATCCGAGAGTATACTTTTGTCACATGGTAAGGATTGCCTTTTAAGCGTCGATATGTAGAATTTAAGTGTGTTAATATTATTACATGTGCTTTTTAATATTTATAATAATAATAAGACATCACATTATGTTATACAGTTGTAAATATTTTTAACTAATTATAGTAGCGCTTTTTACTAACGTAGGAAATTATTTTGTGTCAATTTGGAGATTTCGTTTGTTGTTTTGTGGGGTGAACCAATTAGATTAGTATAAAAAAAAACTGTTATGAAAATGTGATTTGTAAAATTTTAAATCCTGATGCCTTAAAGTGTATAAATAAGCATTAATATATAAAAATGAAATGCGTTGATATGGAAATATAAATATTTATGTGTATGTTAATATAAATACAACGCACAAAACGGGTTCAAAGGAAAATGATTCAATAAGTAATATAATTTATTAGTAAAACTACCTACTGTTAGTAAGTAAACATTTTGTTAATAATAAAACAAAAATGAACAGATTTTTGACAATTAATTTCGTTCTAAATGATATTTGAAATACCATTGATATTGGTATGAATTGATTATTTTTTTATATTTTGTTTTTTATTGGTTGTGCGTACGGTTAAGGTAAAGTGAAGTTAAAAATGGAAAAGTATATAAAATTAATTAGAACTATATAATAAGTAATCGGACTGTTCCATAACAAGTTTAAATTAAATACACCTTAATGTGAAAATAATATTCTTTGTCAGTTAACTTTTTTATCTGACAAATGGACAAGCACAATGTTTGTTTACTGGCAAATGACGTCATTACCTTACAGGAGTCGCATTTGATGTTACATCTGATATCTTACCTGCAATTTGACAGCCAACTCTAGCACCGCGCGCTCATTGGTCAAATCAAATAACGAGCGCTTTCCCGGCTTCTTGTTACACATATCCGTCCCTTTTCACGAAATCACTCCCATAAAACGGGATAACGAGTTGAAAAATGGTTAATTTATTTATTGAAATAAAAGACAAAATATCGTCATCGTCATCAACAGCCTTTAATAGTCCACTGCTGGACATAGGCTTCTCCTTAGGAAGGAAGAGAAGGCTTAGGCCTATTGTACCATGTTGACCAGACGGGATAGGTATATTGGGATGGGTTTGTGTCAAGTTTCCTTTGTCCCTGCAAGTATTTTGTAGTGTTATTTGCTCCCTTAGTCGGCTCTTAAGACACCCACGGGATTATTTGGGGAGGGGGAAGGGGGTGGTTAGTAGTTATAAAAATATTATATTGTTTTAATGTTTTTTATAATACCAGATAAGTACATTCACATTGTATTTTTAATTACTGTCCGATTTCCTATTTTCATGTTTTTCAAAACAAAATTCAACAATGTACTTTCCATATATATATTTTGTGAATGTGATTGATTATATAGAATGCTGTGTAATTATGTTATTTATTTATTTAGTTCAGTATTAAAATAGTTTTAGAATAAATATTGTTTCGGGTGATTCGTAATAGAACTTCTACTTTTTTTAAATTGGAAACTATAATGATTATTACTTCGACCATTTTGAATGAATTATTTCGGTGACTAGTACAACTTGAACTCTCATTGTATAGAATTTTGTACCAACACAGGTTAAAATCTATATAGAACACTTATAGTTTAAGGTAGTATTTTTTCGCATTGAAGACATACAAATATAATTAATTATTACATGAGAAATAATAAGAATTTGGTCTAGATGATTTTGAGGGTTTTTATGATATGTGATGCCCGCCTCCCGCCGCCCAAGACATCTACAACTTGAGAGTTCCAGATGTGTTACCCTTGAGATGGGAGTACAGGAGTAAGGTTAAAAGGTGGTATAGGTCTGGAAGTACCGTAGGTGACTATTTATTCCACAGATTGGTTGTGCAAGGATAAAATAAGCTCATAGTGGTGCATTGGTATTTATATTTTTTGAAACGTAATCTGAGACAGTGAAACATTCGGGCCATTAGAAATTATTAACCAAATTTTCAGCAATATAAGACATCACTTGTAAACTAAACGGGCCTGTTGGTCTAGTGGTTAGAGGCCCTGACTGCTAACCGGAGGTCTTGGGTTCGATTCCCACCCAGGACAAGTATTGTGTGATGAACACAATCATTTGTTCTGTGTCTGGGTGTTATTTATCTATCATATGTATGTATTTATAAATATATATGTATGTTTATCAGCAGTCTGGTTACCATAGCACACGCTCTGCCTAGTTTGGAATCAGACGACTGTGTGTAAGATGTGTAAAGTTATTATTATTATTATATAAAATATACTTTATTAACTTCATCAACAGCCTTTAATAGTCCACTGCTGGACATAAGCCTCTCCTCAGAAAGGAGGTTTTGGCCTACTAAACCACGCTGGCCAGACGGGTTGCTATAGGGTTTATGTCAAGTTTTCCTTCTCTCTACAGTGCTTTTGTCCTGCGTAGTTTTTTCCCTTAGTCGGCTCTTACGACACCCACGGGATGAATAGGGGTGGTGACACTCTGTATTCTTAATCCGTCACCACACGGACCTTTTAACTTATGTTAACAATTTAATTTTTTATTGGTACACAAAGAATGTAGAATATGTTTTGTTTAAAGCTGGTTATTAAAAAAGATTAATAATTTTATCTATTGCTTGTGTTTTACCACAGTTGTATTATAAATCGGATCACCCGAAACGATATAACGTTAACAACGAGTTATTCTAGTTATCGGTACATGTATATAGATGTTATTATTTGTAACGAGTGATAACGTGCCTTGTCGTGGTGCCATTGATACGCAATGTGTTATAATAAAATAATTTTTCATTTATATGTTTTTGATTTACCTCATCACACCTCATCACGGTAATCACTGTTGTATGATGATGATATATATTAGTGATTGGTATAAATAATCTATATTATCTATCGGCAAGTATTATTCCCGATACAAAATCGCTCCTAGAAGCCTGTGAACGCCCCAGGAGGCCTCTGGAAGGAGCTTGGTTGGCTCACCTAGCTAACCAGTCCTCGACGCATAAAGGACCACTCTTGAGTGCGGAAACCGAACCCCACAACCGATACCAATACCAATATAAGTAATCTATACATATAAAATTACTTGCCCTTTTTTTCTGTGCGGGAATACTCTCGGATACCACCCACCGGTGCTTATGTCGGACTCGAACCGACCAAAACCCGCACTCCGTCTCGGGTACCGGTTACCGAGGAACCAGGTGTACCCTAGGAATGAAATCCCTACTCCCTAAGAAAGTACCTCGGGTACGAAAGTATCTACGGCATGTAAATGACCCCGCCCCCCCCCCCCCCTGTTTGGGAACCCCTATGTTCCCTTTTTGTCTCACCACCGCCCCGGCCTGCTTCGCTAGGTTGACAGATGGCCTCACCTACCACCCCTAGATCTGCGCTTATGGAGGACACAGTTCGTTCTTCGAAAATTACTTGCCCTGACTGACAGACTCATCAACGCAGAGCCTAAACCACTGGGACTACAAACTTGACATTTTGTCTGCTGACGCTTTTATAATTTTTATGTTCTATGTAAGTTCGTTATTTTCAAACTTAGAAACACGAATTAAGAAGTAGCTAGCGAAACCGCTGGCGACAGCTAGTTCATAATAATTTACCTAAACATTACATGCATTCACGTTTTGTCACACTTGTCATTGTACGATTCAGGATTGGTGGTTACTCCGTAGTTCGATGAGCATTCGTTAGATGGCGCTGGATTTCTATCAAACATTGATACATCTCAATTTCAGTCTATATACAGTCTCTCTAATAATACACTGCCTCCATCTCATGTTATAGTGCTTACTGAGTTATCAGTCATCATATATTTTCTCTACCTCTATTCCTTTCTCAGTTTTTCCAAAAGGGTCGCGATCTCTGGATGTGGTCTGAATTATAAGAAAGAATCTGAATTAGAAGAAAATTTAATTAATTAAGAAAATTTAATAAATTAGAAGAAGAAAAATGACGTAGTTAAAGTTAGGGTAAGGTCCTATTTTATAGGCCTGTGTTGTTGTAGTGGTTGACGATCCTGGACTCTGTAACATTTGTCAATTTATTTCATGTATGTTTGATAATGGCTGGCATAGTTTTATTGTGGAGAGTAGTACTTATCGTTAGGTTGCTGTGCTGAAGTCTTGGGTTCGATTCCCGGGTCGTACCAAATGTTTGTATAATATGCAAATATTTGTTTTTGAGTTTGGGGGTTTTAAACAATAGGTGTATACGTACTTCTACCCAGAGTACCCAGAAGGACAATTCTCGTAATAAAAGTTCGGTCAAAATTCAGTTCCGATCTCACAAATGTAATAAAAGTTATTTTAAAGTAAATTTCTATCTTAAATCTTAAAAAATAGTAAGGTATTATTAAGACTAGTAGATTACCAATTCAACTTAAGGTCACTATACGATGTAATCACATTACAGTCAACGTTAGGTGTTTAATACTTTACTACGAGAATACCTTTTACGGCATATGTGAGAACGAGATTAGATCGGTACTGAATTTTGACTAAACTTTTATTATGAGAATTGGCCTTCGGGTTGCTTATAGAATTAGGTAGGTATCTTTTTTTGTATGTGACATGTGCGAAGACTGTCTCGTTGTTTGCAGACATAAATTTAAAAAAAGGGGGGAAGTGATTTTCCCCTGGGATAGGGCCTGACTAGGCATGGTGTCAATTCGGGGAGGACCTGAAATAACATGGTCCGGGTCCTCCCAGAGTAGGGCACCTGAGGCCGGCCGTCGGGGTGGTTTTTAGTGGAATCACCACATACTCCTAGCTCCTAGCCCCGAGGAGCAGGAGACCTGAAGGGATTTTCCACCCCGTCAACAAAAAAAAAAAAAAGGCAGTTGTACTTTAGTTATTGCAAATTTGTTCTTCTTAAAATAAAGATTGAAATATTTTTTAAGATTGCACGATTTATTGTTTTTACCATATCATCGTTTATTTTAATTATTTGTAAACTAGTAATTATCATCAATAGTACATTAACAGCCACTGCTAAAATATAATGAAAACTGTTTAGGCTGCGTCAGTAAAAACACCGTTATTTTTTAACGCATTCTTTTGCATGATGCAATCGAGCTCGAATGTAAAGCTAGATATAGTGATGTATGTATGTGCCGGCTAGCCGTAACCTAATACTGTTAAAGAATTAAAAAATATCTTTATAAATAATAATAGTAAATAAATTTATTTCAGACATTACTCCATATATATGTTAGTAACAATCATCTTACAACTATGTTAGTTCTACATTACAACAAACACAAATTACAAAATAAATCGTGGGGTTACGCCCCTAGATCCCACCTCTCGGACGTTCCTCTCAGGATGCCATTGGTGATGCTTAGCAGTCGATTGGACATTGCATAAAAGTCATCGCAATGTCCCTGTCCGCAATACACGTTTGATGCGCTACAAAACCTCGGCAGATTCAATAGCACCCTGAAAGCATTGTTGTACTGGACAAGTAAAAGCTTAATTATGTTTACGTATTCGTCTATAACCGCAATAATATATAAGAGTACATTAGATAATATTGAATATATAAGTTGTCCTTATTCTTAATATGTCACCACATATTAAGAATTAGGAGTGTCACCAATACTATTTATTCCGTGGTTGCGGTAAGAGCCGACTACGTTCAAACTACGCAGGGCAACAGCAATGCAAATAGAAAAATGAGCTTTTCCTCAGGTGACCCGTATACTCGTTTGTCCCGTCTTCCATAAAAAAGAAACTTGAAACAAACCCTATACGTCTGACCAGTGTGGTGTAGCCTATGTCCACCAGTGGACTATTAAAGTCTATTGATGTGTGATGTGATGTGTAATATAATTGGAAACGATTTAGTGTGTTTCTTTAGTATCAATGTTAACTATTATTTCAAAAGACCTTTCGTATTGTAATTTAAACATTTCAAATATATCAAAAATCTCACTGACAAAAAAAATTATTACAAAAACTTTGGATAGATATTTAGAGAGTTTGTTTGTCAATGATTTACAACAATTTGATGTTTGTTTTGAACAACGTAAGTATTCAATAATATACACGTAAACTACTACCTTGACATGAGCAAAGAGTTTGTCAATCCCGCTACATGCAGCTGTACACTCCTGTTCTTTATCTCTATTAAAAGCTTGTCTTCCAAAGAATCTTCCATCTAGAAATTATGGTGTATGTATGTATATAATTTATAATTTATTATATTTTGGCCGGCCAGGGAGGTGTCATAAACTGTTACAGTTTATGACAACTCTATTATAGATGTACACAATAGTTTTTCCTTACATCGTAAGAGTTTAACACACATAACTTTGATTGTAAATTTCACAAAATCATTTACAAGTAGGTAACTTAAAGTAAACGCGAGAGTTAAAAAACCATTTGTTATCCCGTAATTTTAATTTCAATTCTAGATTACTTCAAATTAATGATTTGATAAAATATTGATAGAAAATAAGTAGGTATGTAATAGGTGATTTAAATGATTATGATGGATGTACCCATGATTAGTTTATTAATCTGATTACAAATTCCACAATTCCATGTTCTGATTGAAACAGCTGACCCAAAGATTTCGATTTCCGAGTAATCGGTGAGAGGTTTTAAAAGCAAACTGTGCATCCTTAGCCCTAACTACTGACGTCTGACTGTCAGAACAAATGTCAGTTTCACGTTTCACATTCAGTTTTCACGAAAATTTTTAATCATGTATTATCGTAATGTAAATATTTTTTAATATGTACGTACCTTGAAAGTATTATTCTCTGTTTTATATAAGTGTATTCGCTAAGAAGCTTTGACTTTCTAACATAAATCAGTATATTATATATATATGCCGAAGACTAATTTTTAATAGGTTAGTAGGAAAATTGTACTCAAAAATGGATTTTGGGGGTGATAATTCGCGTGAAAATCATCAAAATGTAAGAAGTTATGGTACCCAAGACTACACAGTGCGAAAAGCATACGAAGATGGTAAGTTTCTGTTACATTTTACTTTGTTTTTCATTTATTTCATCATTTCAGAGCTCAGTATGGAAGCGTTAATAATCCATGGAATTCACCGGTTGTACGACGTGGCTCGTGAAAATGTACACGTTATAACCATTTGAAAAAACAATTTTTACATTTAACTATTACGTATTTTATGTGGGCCAGATTCTAATTTTGACTAAGTTTTAGGTGTTTTGAAAATAGAATAAAACCTTATATACTTTTTGAAATATATTTTTAATTGTATCATCTACATCGTTGACTGTAAATTTTTTTCATGTCCTTGAGAAAATCTTGTTTTTGCATTTTTTTAAAGTAAAAAGAGCAAAATAAATTATTAAACTGTAGATTAAAAAAGTATGTTCAAGTTTAAAAAAGTACTCTGATAAATGATGAAAGATTTTTGATGTATTAAAATCAACTTTTGGTTTTAAATCAGACTGAATATATTATTCGATGATGTTTTAACTTAAATCAGATTATAGAATATCCAATTGGACTATTGGAGGAATTGTCCCAGGCGCAACTTTCCGTAATTGTTCTACACGGCAAAATAGTTGCCGCATCAACTACCGTGCGCTTTTCGAGACACTTTTTGACCTGCACCGTGACATAAAAGACCGACAACGCGTTTGTGACTCCTGAGTTGCAGACGTTCATGGGCGGTGATGGTCACTTTCCATCAGGTTATCCTTCTGCTCATCTGCACCCTCTAACATAAAAAAAGCTATCTTGTTATTCTGAGCTCTCCATGAAAATGAATGTGAAGAAATGTTGGTTAGGTTGTGTTTATAATTACTATGGAGAAACAGGAATATGTATCCTGTTTCTCCATAGTAAATATAAACTGTCTTGTTAGAGTTGGGAACGACTATAGTGGCGACAACGAATATAGTGGGGTATAAAAATATTTGAGTGTGGTAAGTTAGGAGAGAGTGTTTGACAAATTATGTATGTTTGTATTATACTAATAAAATTAATTTACCGAAGGGAAAATAAAGTTCAATTTAAAATTTGATTATTTACTGAAGGGAAAATAAAGTACAATTTAAAATTTGATTCTAATAAAACACTTTTGGCCCGCACAACCAATCTGTTGAAAGGGTTATCCTCTGCGGTATTTCCCGACCGATACATCCTTCAAACCTTCAAGAAAAGAGCATACTCCTTCTAAAGCGCAAGGAGTTTGTGAATCCTGAGTTGCAGACGTTCATGGGCGGACATGGTCACTTTCCATCAGGTGACCTGACTGCTCGTCTGCCCACTCTAACATAAAAATAAATAACTTATAATAATACAATGCATTGCAATTGGTTATTGTCACTCAACAATTACCAGAGCAATTAGATGCCCAAACCCCATCCGTCCTCTAATTCCAAGGACGCAACTTGCAACTCTTGAGTGACCATGGATGTTGATAGTTACTTACAGTCAGGTGTTCCATCTGTTCATTTAACCCCTATACTGTCACTGTCAGTTTGGTTGGTTCATCGGTTGTTGTGGATTTGCTGTCACTTTATTACTGTCTTTATTTTTCAATAAATTATATCTTTATTATATTATATTATTGTCTTTACAGTTCACAACATGTGTTTCTAGGTTAACTTAGTTACTTAGCATGTGTTCAGTGATTATATTTGTAGGTATTTTATAAATTGCTATAGTGTTGAAAACATTTTTGTTTACAAAAAACTGAACGTTAAACTTATGCTGTACAATTCGGAATTGAAAATAGTATTTGTGAAATATTGTTGTAATATCGATATGTTGGCCTATGCCTTAAATGTTACGGGCATGAGGAAAAAATATATATCAATATTTTTCCTGGCATTATTTGATAAAAGAATAACTTATTTAAAGGAAACAGTTAAATGGTCTGGAATTACCGAGTAACTGGCACTTGGTAGCTCCTTTTATCATAGCAACTCTTATATAATGTGTTTAAGTGTTTATAATAAAGTACCCAAGTCAATTTTCGAATTGCCACTGTCTTAAGATGAAGACTGAATTGAAAAAATGGCTTTATAGCATGATAAAATTTTCCGATCTGAAAGTTCGAAATCTAAACTAAAGAAAATCATAATTATATTGAATTTTAAATGTTAGACCATTTGAAATTTTTTCATTGCTTTTTGTTAATTATATGCATATATATAATAATGATTATTATAATTTAGTTAAGCATCTTGCAAATTTAAAATGCGATTTTTATGTCATTTGATTTATAATATAATGTGATTTAAATTTAAATTTGCATGTCAATATTGGCGAAATGTGTGATTCAGTACTCCATGGAATTTCCATAAATCTACCACAATTTTTGCAAATAAATTATTCTTATCATTGGTCAGAGTACTTTTTGGATGGATCGAGACAAATATTGTGTGAGGAGCACGGTCATTTGTTCTGTGTCTGGGTGTAATTTATCTATAATATGTATCACAAGCCATCTAGTTTCAAACTAAGCTGAACTTGTACTGTGAAAGCTAGGTTGACTTATAGAATACTTTTTTGTAGACGAAATAGCAAACTTAATGCTGTTGCGAGAAAAAAATCAGTATGGCGAAGACAGTCTCTCAGCTCAAAACAAAAAAAAAAACATGACTATTATTGTATCTGTTATCATAATCAGCTTTAAAAAAATAAGTTTATTATTTGTAACTAAAAATAACAAATTGCACAGTAGAATTAGCACATTGTATTGGTTCTATTTGTTTAGATTCTAGATCGAAACAGTTCCTGAAGACTTTGTGGACAACTGTTAGTGAAAGTTTCAATAACGAAGATATCAAAGTGGCGGGAAAATAACTGTTTATTTGTTTTAACTTTAGATATTTTAAATTTAGAAGTCAAAGCCAACTGAAAGACGCAATGTTCACGGTCTGCACGATTTTGAGTTACGTTTTTCAATGAAACTTTCCTAGTCTTTTTATAATATACATAAAAAAATAAACGAAAAACATTCAAGTGGATACGTTACGTCCTAAACTGTCATATAACTGGTATTAGACAGTTTCAAGATCAAGAGTCCGTGATAGCCGTCGCTTTCACTATCATTTTTTATCCGAAGTTTTTATACACATTGCGTACTACATTACGTGATAAATATTCGTTATCGTAATATGTTAAGAAAATTGATGATATAACTGTTAAACAGATTTTTTTAAGTGATAACTTCTTATGGGAAGGTAAGGTAAGCTTCGTTACGTAACGCGTTACGGCGCCAGTCTGTCTGGCTTCCCTTTCTCTCACGCATACGGCAGCGGTAGACAGGCTTTTTTTATGTCAAAGGAGGCAGACGAGTTGGCTCCTTCTCTCTCACTCTAACCCACAGCGCTAGCCGTATTTCGGACAGACGCTTTACATAAAATTTAAGTAATAACCTAAGCTTTTCTCTAGTTAAACAATTTAAATATTAAATAGTTTAACTTAGATTAGTTTAAGTTATCACTTCTGTCAGGTGTCCCGAGACGCACACTTTTTTTATTTAGAATTGGTCAAGGGTTCTCTCTTAACAAAATAATTCAGGTTAACACCAATAATAAAATTAGAAACACAATCGAACCAAATCGAATATGAACAAACTGACTTAAGTTGAAGTATTGATGCTATACTAGCAATTATAAATAATTTTTCTAGGAAAAATCGCGTTTTTATTATTACGGTATTATTACGGTTTTCGATTTTTCCTTATCAAAACTACGTCAGTGTTTTTCTTTTCAAAACGAGTACAGATAATTCTAGACAAATAATAATTTACATTATTCATTTAACCACTTTGTGCATTAAATCGTATTTTGACAACGCTCAACTAATTAAAACTAGACTTGCCTAGAGATTTTTTAAATACAATGCGCGTCTTGAAATAGGTCTTGAAATACCGGGCTCACGGTGAAGTATGTAGGAATCGAACCGACTACATCCACACGGTGTTCCGTCGCATGTGAGTCTATTGCAAGGGACTCGGGTATACTCTTGGAAGAAAGTCCCCTGAGGACATTGTTGTTTGAATTTCAAGTAAATTATTAATTTTAAGTCACTTTTCTAGCTTTAGCGGAAACAAAATATAGAATTTGTATCTTATAAACATATTAGTGGGTTCATTACAGTCCATGATTTTTAAAATGCTCTTTACTGATATCGCTGCATAGAAGGAACATTCAGCCTTAGACATATTAAAACGTAGACTGGATAAAGTAACAGCAACTATTGGGTGTCCACTATAAACGCCTCTCCCAAAGACGCTTCTAAATACTTCCTTAACCAGGTTTTCTTTCAATCAAGTCGAATGACGTCAAACAACGCCTTCCACATCATCATTGACGACGTCCATTCGCTATAATATAGGTATAGCTATGATCGTTCATATTGTGATTAGGAATTAGGATCTTTCATAGGAAAACCCTTAGCTATGCAGACGTCCCTGATCGTGAGTTACATTCGGCTCTTCCTATTAGGTCAGTAGCCATGTTTTACTGTGATAACTCTTCACTGTACACGCAATTTATTTTATTTGGTATTTCATTTGGCGCCGGGGTCAACAAGGCTAAATCGGACATTGCATCAATTGAATACTGAACATTGGTATCTTAATGTTCACACCAATTGAGGGGCGGTCGTTTCTCTCTGCCTATGTGGCAGTCTGGTATTGTTGTGTTCGGTGTCCAGTTGGGTCATGGCGTTTTATCGACTTCTATGTAAGTTTTGTTTTATTTAATGTGATTTCAATGAGATAACAATGAGTTTGGGTTGTGGGTCTTTCCGTTCAGAGTTTAAAGGCTAAAGTTTCTTAATAAAAGTGTGTGCTCGTGATGAGTTTTCAGTAAAACATGGCTACTGACCTAATAGAAAGAGCTGAATGTAACTTACAATCAGGGACGTCTTCATAACTAAGTGTTTTCCTACGAAAGATCCTGATCACAATATGAACGATCATCAGAGAAGATGAAAATGAGCACGCTATACCTATATTATAGCGAATGGAGGTCATCAGTGATGATGTGGAAGGCGTTGTTTGACGTCATTCGACTTGATTGAAAGAAAACCTGGTTAAGGAGGTCTTTAGGGGAGTGTTTGGGACGTTTATAGTGGACACCCAATAGTTGAGATTAAAAATCACAAATTAAGGAACATCGGTTAACATTTAAATACTCTTGTGGCGACTTCCACATTTAAAGAAACATAAACATACTACAGCGCCATCTAACGAAGAAACACTAAACTATGGGGTTACTGCTAATCCTGTATCGCGATATAAATAATTCTCACGCCGATTAGCATATATACCACTTCCTAACATCAACCGTTGGGCCGCGTTCCGCCAGGCATGATCATCTTGCATGGACGGAGGTTCTTCCCTTTGTGTTAGAGGAATTTTTGTTTGTTATAAAGTTTAATATAATTTAAAACAAATAAATGGAATATTACACCCGTTCCTCCACACTATTGCAATGTACATCATAGTTGTAGTATGCTGTTGTATTCATCTGTGTTTATCTGCTGAGAAATTAATTTTAGGTTTTTGTGTATTATTTTTTTGTGTAATAATGTGATTTAATTTAACTTTTGTTACTTCCTAATGGATCCCCCATTAGGAAGTAACAAAAGTTAAGTTATGTCTGAAGTAAACAATAAATAAATAAAATTTGATCCCCAGTTAGTTGATTCAGAAATTATCTCGTAGGTAACCTATAGGTATAAATACTTAGTCATCTTGCATCATTCTATAGTTTTGAAGAATAAGGTGAAATTGCGGAATAACTATTCTCAAAAGTATTTGTTTGCTATTTGTAGCATAAAAGACAGTCGCATACAAAATCATTGCACCGTTATCGAATGATTAAAAATAGCAATTGAATTTTATTGCTAGAATCGTCAGGGCGTTCCCTACTTCTTTTTTGAAATTTAAAGTATCTATCAGTGAAGATGCTGAGTTAAGTAGTATACCCGTTACGGAGATAAGCCCGAACAAACATACATATGTTTGCTTTGGCTTATCTGCGAAATGTGCATTCAATCGAGAAATATAAATATTTACACACAAGCGAAAAGGGGGGAGGGGGACCATAACCGTGTCAAGTTTGAATTTGAAAAAATGAGTACAGAAGTGCCACCTGAAAAGTTTACAGGGTGTACACAGGTCTTGAGGGGGCCATCTGTAAGCCGTAGATGACCCGGGGTCCGTCAGGGTATCAGGAATTTCTTTTCTAGATTACTCCTGGTTCTCCGGATACTGGTGCCCGCAACGTTAATAACATAACCACGCCGGTCGTTCAGTGGGTGGTATCCCAGGGGATATCCGCACGAAAAAAAGAGTTGTCTGTCGACAAAATTACTGTTGTCACAAATGAAGCTTTGTGCGCGATTGTACACGGAATTAATAGCAAAGCGTAAACATTATTACTCAGTTCAATATTTCCCGTGTCAGCGTTTGTAGTCTCGTCTAAGCACGATTCAACACAACTGTCTGCCTCATACAGGCGTTCAATCATATGGATTTTGTTTTAATATATTTGTTATGTGTTAACTGAATTAAAAGTTTCATAAAATGAATAGATTTACAACTAAAACAGTGTAAAAAAAAAGTGTTGGTTTACGTTTGATCAAATATAATTTTTCCTAGTAAAAAGTGGATAGTTTTTTAGCTTTTTTATTAGTAGTTTCGCTGGTGAAGGAGGCTTTCTTTCTTACCTTTGGCCTATGTAGTGAGCAGTTTTGTTGTGATCGACTAACCATGGACGAGAATGTTTTTGCCCCGACAACTTCTAGAAGACATAGCTGTACAAGAATGGCGACATCTGTACTGAATCTGGTTTTAATGGCAATTCGTATGTATTATTTCATTATTTGATACCTTTTTTTGGGCATATTTTAATAACATAGGGTATATTCCACTGTGCTTTATGTGGGTGAATAAAGTCGCCTTTCCTAACCTGGGTGAATAAATTCCAAGTTGAACAAAGGCCTTCGCTTATGTCGAATTAATTACCCGGATAGCACCCGGGTGAACATAGTGGAATAAACTTAACACAGTCGTTAGGAATCATAAAAACAATTGTCATATCTTAAGAATTGTCTATTATCTCACATTGGATACAGGAAACAAGAAATCAGAGTTTTGGGAGTCCAGAGACAGACCTTACACTATTTAGATCGTGTTGAGGAGAACTGCCTTTTGCATCTTTTGTTTTAGCCCTCTTTCTTTCTTTAGCCCTTTAGCCTCAACCACATCTTAAACTCACGGTGAGTTTAAGATGTGGTTGTCAATTCATGAGCAAATATTATTACTAGCTGACAGTCTGCGTCTCTCAAAAGGAATAAATTGCCCCGTGCCCCCCGCATACACTGAAACGAAGATACATCCTACAACACCATCTAACGAAGAAACACCGGATTACGGAGTAACTGAAAATCCTGTATCGCGATATGAATATTTTTTAAGCCGATGAGCATATATGCAACTTATCAACATCAACCGTTGGGCCGCGGCCCGCCAGGCATGATCATCTCGCCTGGTCGGGGGTTCCTCCCTTTGAGTTGGAGGACCACCCGTTCTTAGTCAAAGTTTTGCGTAGAAGTTCGCTCCTATTGGTGGTAGCGTGATGTTATATAGCCTATATCCTTAGAAATGTTACATTTGATGATTGTGGCTAAATAATTTATTTTTGGATTATTTGTTTCTCACCCGTCCTTAATTACATTCAGTGACACCCATTGCCAGTGCTTAGAAAATCACAAAGATTACCATTGAGATAATTACATAATTCATTACGAATCAATATCAGGTGTTTTTGAAATCTGAGTGCATGTATACTAAGATTTATTAGCGGAATTCCTTATTGAATTATATTGTTTACTCGTCTCGTCACTTGACGCGGTGTGACAACTGATCGCCTGCTTTCCTTATTGCATTATTGTTTACCTGCAAGTTCCGATAAATTCCGGTTTGATTTCCTTTCAATGTGTAAGTAGTACACGTAAAGTATCTTAATTACAACAGAGGTCAAATTGCTTTTTTTGTTTACACCATTCACACAACGCCATCAACCAAATAATTATTATAGTGTTGTAATGTGTACTTACAAAGAGTTATTAATTATATATACGAATAGATATCGATTTTTCAGTGTTATGTAAACAGCCTGTTAGATTCTTTAGTGAAACTAACAATATAAAAAATTAATAAATCTTGAATAATACCAACCAACCAAACATTAAATCAAATCATATATTTAAATGTAAGTATATTCTTTATTTCATTACAGGTGGCCTCAAAGCGGGAGCTTCCCGATTGGCTCGGATAGCGTACAGTGTCCTTTCACGGCGCAAAGCGGCCGAGGAAGGAGCAGCGCGGTTGGCCAGAGTCCTTTCAGCTCTTGACCTAACAGCTTTGGGGGTCGGCAGTACCCTTGGAGTGGGAGTGTATGTGTTAGCTGGGGATGTAGCCAAGAACTTGGCTGGTCCCGCTGTTATACTATCGTTTCTGTTAGCGGCTGTGGCGAGTGTTTTTGCTGGTACGTCGATTTTTTTTTGTACTACTTCCGGTATTTTCCAAATTTACACAAAACATAGAAATAATTTATTCTAAAAAGTATTACCTACTTCAATTCGCCTAAGTCATGATGTTTTGTAATAAACTGCTACTTCGTCCTTATTTTTCGTAGTATTTAATTTAGTAGCACTGCAGGACATATGCCTCTCCTTAGAAAGGAGGTTTTGGCGTACTATACCACGCTGGCCAGACGGGTTGGTATAGGGTTTGTGCAAGATTTCCTTCTCTTTGCAGTTATATTGTTGTGCGTAATTTTGCTCCCTTAGTCGGTTCTTACGACACCCATGGGATCAATAGGGGTGGTGACACTCCGTATTCTTAATCCGTCACCACACGGATAATAAATGATCGGCGATTGGGTTAATAAATGAGAGTATTAAAAAATAAAATCTCTCTCTTCCAAGCTATTCATACCACTTAGTGTTGGGGCCAGCTATCTTCGTCTGTCTACTCCACTTCGCTCTATCATTTATGTCGTCTACGGAAACCAGACAGTCGTTCATATCCCTCAGCAGTACATCCTCCCACCTATAAGTAAATAAAAAATGCATAAAACGGAATTGAAAACTTCCTTCTTTTTGACAAAAAATGATAAATACACCGACTGCCAAGGAAGGGTTATGTTCTTCGCGCATTACCTCGTATCTTTCATATCGCTGGACTGTTTTTTTTTTTTTACAAGCCTTCTAAGAACCGAAATTACTAGTATTCCCGTTAACCCCTCCAGCTAAGCTAATTTGCTTGTGTTAGGAGTGGGGTCACGTCGGTAGTGTACTGGTCAGGATTCAAACGACCTCTTGATCGCAAGTCCAATGCCTTAACCACTGGGCTACCACCGCTTTTTTGTCAGTTAAGGTATTGTTTTATTCGTCTTAAAAATCCAAGTGTCCTTAGATGGCTTTTTGAAAGAAAAAGAAAAAATTATGGATAAAAATATAACCGAACCTATCGAGGAGGGTATCAAAATCAATAAAACTAAAAGGGGATTACAAAATTATAAGTAGGTTATACTTATATCTAAATTAAAAACTAATAAAAATGTGTTTAAAATTGATTAAACAATTCGATTTGATAGCTTAAAATTAGGCCACGTTTGTGTCGGACCTCTTGCTGTTTCGGTCTCTTTTAGTTTTTGATTTTTTAAATGTTTGACTTGTTTGATCTTTCGAAATCCAGTTTTTCCTAACAGATAGCAGTAGTTTCTAGTATTAGATTTGCAAAATTGAATTCAAGAGTCTTCTAGGTTCTTAAAGGGTCGGTAAGACGCATAAGTCCCTTGAAATGCAAACCTATAACCGCTCACCATCAGTCCATGCGTTTGCCTGTTTGCCACGGACTGGTATAAAAAGATGAAAAAGATTTCAAGTACCAATCTCACATATTGGACTTAATTGATAAAAAAGAAGTTTATTTGAGATTAAACAATTTGACCCGACCTATAAAGTAGATAAATTAATAGCGTGATGGATATAAAATGTTGCACTGTATTGCAATGTCGTGACCATATTTCAAGGTTACCGGTTTTTTCCAAGATGTTTATTTGACTATTAATATATGAACCACTTGTAAAAACAAAACAATGGAAAGCTATATTATCAATGAGGAACATAAGCTAATTTTTACCGTTACATACACATACATACACCGTTACGTACTTTTTACAGTTAGTGATCCAAACTGCTAAGCCAGAAGCCCACCGAAGACTGTTTTGTATCTGAGTATAGTTAATCTATAATATGTATATATTTAGAAATATGTAAGTATGTTTATCAGCAGTCTGGTTACCATAGCACACACAGGTGCTTTTAACTTGGCCCTGCTTCAACATGCTGACTGCACGGATAGCCTAGTGGTTTAAGCGGTCACCTCGCCGCTTCCTACTGCGCTGAGTGCGTTGTGATCACACTTTATATGATCCATAAATTGTTGTTCTGAGTCTAGGTGGTCTTTGTGTCCGTTTCATGTATGTTTGTAAAGTCCCCCGTGACACAGAAATATATATAACTACTGCGGGAGTTGTCTTTAAAAAAAATATATATATTGCCTGATCTTGACAGTTTACGTCTATCGCCCACTATAAAGTAGCCAATATTTTTTTGTCATTGATGAGTGAAGCACAACCTACCGAAGCAGTCCCTCAAAAATGAAATACTCTCACTTTAAAGGCCGGTATAGATAGTTCAACTCAGTTGTGCGCGCGGCCCTATGTGTGCGTGGGTTTGTAAATATACAACTTTCATTCGTGTGGCAGTGACGCGGCAGTCGTCGTCCGAACAAGACGTGTTGACGTGTGTATATTTACAAGCCCACGCACACATAGGGCCGCGCGCACAACTGAGTTGAACTATCTATAACGCTTTTGTGAGTCTTGATATCATCTGTTGACTAATACTCGTTTAGGTAAATGTAAATGATATCGAAATGTGATGATCGTAAATGAAATGATAATGTGATAGTCATGTGAAAAAGAATTCAATTCTTGTCACCACATTCATAAATTTTTCTTCTTCCAGGATTATGTTATGCCGAATTCGGTGCTCGAGTTCCGAAAGCTGGTTCTGCTTATGTGTACAGCTATGTTTGCGTTGGCGAATTCATCGCTTTTATCATTGGATGGAATCTCATACTCGAGTATATTATTGGTAAGAAAAACTACGTTCGTGTCGTAAGAGAGTGATGCTTCATCACATTTTTTTATGTTAGAGGAGGCAGGCGAGCAGACGGGTCACCTGCTGGAAAGTGAACTATGGGTCAACTCTACTGCAGTGATTATTCGGATTACACAAAATAAATAAGAATTCTCTAAATAAACTCTGGATTTATTTGGATCTAAATACAGCAAGAAATTACATTCAGATGAGACATTTCGAAAACGAATACAACGCTTTCTTTTTCAACAGTGATAAGTTGGTAGGCCTCACAGAAACAGAAAACCGATTTTATGCCATAATTCAGTTTTCACTGAGTGAGTGAAGTTACCTGTTGCTACCTGTTGCTCAATCCGCTCCTTCTTTAACATCGGGAAAAGGGCCGCAGGCTCTCAAAGGCAACACATTAGTCACAAGGCAAAGCAGGAAGGCAGTTACTCTACGGCGACGATAGTCAGTAGTCACTTCGCGTCTGGTGCTTTGTCCTTTACCCCTAATATATAAAAAGAAATCTATTTTCACCGTCATAGCGATATTTAGTTATTTTTTAATATTTTTTTATCTTCCAGGTGCTGCTTCTGTAGTGAAAGCTTTAAGCGAATACTTAGATGCATTATTAAATAAGGCGATATCTACACATCTGGAATCGGTAATGCCTATGGAAAGTCCACATTTGGCGCGGTACCCTGACGTCTTTGCTTTTACCGTCATCATGGCATTTTCTGGTTAGTGGTGATCACTACATATTTTTTACATTTTGATTCTTATCGAAAGCTTGAAAAGTACGTTAAGAATTTTCCTGCGGTTTTTATTATTTTTAAAATAATCATAGGAGCTTTACCGACTTGTGCCACTTATTCAATTTGTTACAGATTTATCACTTAAAAATACTTATTACAATATAGCAATGCTATGTGTCTATCTCCATAAAATGACAAAAAATGTAGGCATATATACTACGCTACACGTGCTGGGATTTGGTTCCTTGTAGCTTATAACAGGTGTTTGACAGAGTTATCATAAGTTAAGTACTATCTAAGAAGTAGTTCTACCTGGGTTTTGCGGTTTGTAGCCATGGAGTTGACAAATAAGTTGTAAAAAAGTTACTTTATGGGTACTTAACCAAAAAAAAAAAAGGTTTTATAATTCGATTCGTAGAGGGATACCCCAGGGATGCATGCAAGGGCCGTTATCTATAAATCTATACTAATATTATAAAGCTGAAGAGTTTGTTTGTTTGTTTGTTTGTTTGAACGCGCTAATCTCAGGAACTACTGGTCCGATTTGAAAATTCTTTCAGTGTTAGATAGCCCATTTATCGAGGAAGGCTATAGGCTATATATCATCACGCTAAGACCAATAGGCGCTGAGCACCAATGAAGAATGATTCAAAAACGGAGAAAATTTATTACTATTGAGAGACGCAGACGAAGTTGCGCGGGTCAGCTAGTTAAATATATAATTATAATGTATTTTTTTTTTAATTATTTTTTTCTTTTCAGTGGGGTTAGCTTTCGGTGTGAAGGAGTCAACTAAGTTCAATAACTTCTGTACCGGAGTAAATCTGTGTGTCGTATTGTTTGTTATAATATCTGGATCATTTAAAGGTAAAAACGGTTTTAATTCAATGTAGCTATAATGGTGCATAAGAATTAATATTTTGAATTTATTTTTGCTTGTGTCCAGCTGACCCAAAGAACTGGCGTATCCCAGCGGAAGAGGTGCCTAAGTCAGAACACAAGGATTTTGGGAGTGGTGGGTTTGCGCCCCACGGTATTGCCGGTATCATTAAAGGCGCCGCTGTTTGCTTCTACGGCTTCATTGGTAAGCTTAATAATATATTATTATATTATATCAATTAGGAGAGGCCTATGTCCAGCAGTGGACTAGTATAGGCTGTTGATGATATTATATCAATTACATGTCTTAGAACTGCCTGACCCGTGTTCACAGGCTGGTACTCCATACATTCTATACTCACGTCTCTGCTCCCGAAGGGGTATAGACAAAGACGAATTAAACGCACACATTTTGCCTATTAACCCACTAACCACTACTTTTTAGTCCCGCTTACGTAATAGGGGGCCTATAGCCGTACAGAACACATGCTCGGATATTTATCCTGGGTGGAAAATGAAGCCACTGCCACAGGATTATCAACTACTAGACCTAGGCCAGCCAGGCTGCTACTAATACATAATCTAGTTAATTCCCGTATGACTCGAATAATATCTTTAATTTGAGCGTATCGTCTCTTGTCCAGGATTTGACTGCGTGGCAACTGCCGGTGAAGAAGCTCGCCGACCTCAGAAGTCAATCCCTTTCGCTGTAGTAGCATCTCTACTAGTGGTGTTCCTCGCGTACTTCGGAGTGTCGTGTGTGCTCACTTTAGTACTGCCTTATTATATGCAGGTAAGAACGAGACAACTGTAGGTTGATGAATACGTTTAAGAAGATGTTTTTAAATTTGAAAGTGCTCAATTATATTCTAGTTTTTTGAAATTTAATATAAATTTTAATAGAAATGTTCTGATTCTTTGTGATTGTGAATTAAGTAATTATAAAAAAAAACAAAACATACTTTTAAGCCATAATATATTAGTATATCTATACAAATTAATAAAATTGGAGTGTCTGTTTGTAATATTAAAATACCCGTTTTTTACTAAATGCATATGTATGTTTACACGGTACATATGCCAAAATAACATTTTTTAAAATTTTTGTCTGTCTGTCTGTTTGTTCCGGGTAATCTCTGGAACGGCTGGACCGATTTCGACGGGCACTTTCGGCGATTTCACTGGCAGATAGCTGATGATATAAGGAGTAACTTAGGCTACTTTTTTTAGACTAGCTTCGCCCCGCGGCATTGCCCGCGGTTATAACAACAAACGCGGGTAACACCGCGGGTCTCAGCTAGTTGTTTATAAAATCTTCATTTAAAATCGGATCCGGCTCAGATCGGCCCCAACGCACTTATAATTCTGAGTTGTAGGTATCAGTCAGATGACCCGTTTTGCTCGTTTGCCACCTGTGCCATAAAAATAACTTGTTTTTATAAAACATTATAAAATGTGAAGTATTTATCCACTTTCTAATATTAATCTCATTCGTGTATATTACAGAGAATTATTACAAATTATCTTTGAATATGTTGTTTATGAGCAATTTTTTACATAACTGAATAATATTTTAACAGGATGAGAAAGCTCCGTTCCCACACATATACGACTACCTGGGCTGGCAGTGGGCGAAGTATGCAGTCAGTGTTGGGGCAATATGCGCCTTGTGTTCCAGGTACTGTAAATAATTACTGCGTGAAATCATAGTCACCATAGAATTCCACGTTTAATTAAAACCAAAAAAAAAACACTTCTGCAGCTTACATATAGAAAAGTAATAAATACACCTCCAAATATGTCACCACCATTGTTATAAGAATACAGGAATAATAGAAGATAATTGAGAACGATTTCCGAACGAACTGAAGTCCGTGTGGTGACTGATTAAGAATACAGAGTGTCAGCCTATTCATCCCGTGGGTGTCGTAAGAGCCGACTAAGGGAGCAAAATACGCAAGACAACAGCACTGTAAAGAGAAGGAGAACTTGAAACAAAGCCTATACCGACTTGTCTGGCCAGCGTTGTACAGTAGGCCAAAATCTCCTATCTAAGGAGAGGCCTATGTCCAGCAGTGGACTATTAAAGGGTGGTGATGTGAGAACGATTTATTTGTGGGAGAGCCGTGCTTCGGCATAAGTGTGCCAATTCGACCAGAGTGATACCACGGACTCACAAAACCGGCGTTTAGCAATACTTTAGTTGCTTTTCACCGAGTAATTGAGGTTATCGAAACCACCCCTCCTGATTCTGAGGTTAGACGACTCTAAGTTTTCCATGGGCGGCGGTGGTCACTAACCACCAGGTGACTCGTCTACTCGCTGGCCTCCTATACCATAATAAAAATAGGTATGCGGCTCTGGTCCTTCGAGCTAATGCGATCCTGGTCCTTCGAGCTAATGCAGTCTAAGTTCCGTTTTCTATCCTAGCATTACGATATTCTGTTACCTAGCGCCTTCACACTGTCTGTTTTTTATCCTTATTCACTTTCTTTCAAGTACTTAAGTCCAAATTTCTGTTCCGTTCTACTCTCGATTTTACATGTCATTTTTTATTTGTCATAAATACTGTTCTGATTCACTATTTAATATATTATATATTCCAAATATGTATGGGTATGTGTATTTATATATGTGTAATGTCCATAGATTTATATTTGTGTATGAATGTGTTTGTTCATGTTTGTGAATATTTTTAAATATTAGTGTATACAATAAAGATATAATAAATAAATAAAATAAAATAAATAAAGGTTTTCTCGTAGTAATGTATTATTAAGACTAGCAGATTACCAATTCAATATTCAGTTACAATACGATATAATCACATTACAGTTAATATTGGATGTTTAATACTTTACTACGTAAATACCTTTTATGACATTTGTGACATCGAGAGTAATAATAATAATAACCTCACACATCACACACACGGCCGTCTGATTCCAAACTAGGCAGAGCCTGTACTATGGTAACCAGACCGCTGATAAACATACTTATATATTTCTAAATACATACAGACACAGAACAAACGATCGTGCTCATCATACAAATACTTATCCTGGGAGGGAATCGAACCCACGACCTCCGGTTTAACACTCAGGGTCACCAACCGCTAGACCAACTGAATTTTGGCTTGGTTTTCAGACATATAGTTTTGGCTAGTTTCTTTTAAGTAAACGAACGAAGGTTCTTTCTTAGAATATTATGTTATTTATGATTATTGTTCCAGTCTCCTCGGTGCGGTATTTCCTCTACCCCGCATCATCTACGCGATGTCTTCAGACGGGCTGCTCTTCCGGTTCTTGGGGCAAGTGAGCGAGAAGTACCAGACACCGCTTGCCGGCACTATCATCGCTGGCTTATTTACTGGTCTGTAGAAAGAAAAACTTATTTTAAAAGTTACAACAGCATTTACATACTATTGGACCTTTAATTACTAAAATACTGTTTTCAAGATGTCTGCCATCTTGCATCTCAAAAATATATATTTAACTTTTTAACATGAACCATTGCGCTGGACGTCGTCAGGTATGATCATCTAGAATGTTTAGAAGTTGAATTAACACTAAGTTTAGTTTGTACTGCCGGTGTTCGCGATTACATAGTGATGAAATGATCACCATTTATTACACGCTTTATATTAGCTTCACTTGTATGTTTGTAACCGACTCCTTTGTGCGTGATTTTGACTGACTTTAAACTGTCAGAATTCGTTCAAACTTTGTAGATATATCGAGGACAGATGACGATACACTAATTTAAAAAAGAAAAAAAAAATAGTTTAAAAAAGCGTTGGGTGCCTGTTGTCAATAGTAAAAAGCACCCCACGCTTTTTTTCAAATTTATTTTCTATTTTTTAGTTTGGTTTTCTATAGAAAGCGTGTTTTTTAGTTTTTTAAAACTATTTTTTTTTTAAAGTTTCAACAGCATTCACATACTATTGGACCTTTAATTACTAAAATACTGTTTTCAAGATGTCTGCCATCTTGCATCTTAAAAATATATATTTAACTTCTTAGTATGATCATCTACAATGTTTAGCAGTTGAATTACACCTAAGTTTAGTTTGTACTGCCGGTGTTCGCGATTACATACGAATACGAAATGATCACAATTTATTTAAATTAAGAAATAGGCAAGGCTTACCTCACAAGGGCCGCCAGAGAGTGGGGACCTCTGGTGGCAGATTGAATGCTGCGGTGGGGGATAGGATGGCGGCCTGATTGCATTAAGACGAAATTGGGCCGCCACGTCGCGATTGAGGGGGAAGTGTTTTTCGCCTGGGATAGATCCTGACTAGGCATGGTGTCAATTCGGGGAGGACCTGAAATAACATGGTCCAGGTCCTCCCAGAGTAGGGCATCTGAGGCCCGGCCGTCGGGGTGATTTTTAGTGGAATCACTACATACTCCTAGCTCCTAGCCCCGAGGAGCAGGAGATCTGAACGGATTTTCCACCCCGTCAAAAAAAAAAGGCTTACCTCACAACATCTAAGTTCATATTCGGTCAACTATTCCAAAAAATCTTTAATAACCCGACTGTTGATACTTTTCCTGAAAATTCTAGAACAATGATCGTAAATCAAACCAGCCACTCCTGATGTCGTTGTCGTACGGTCAATTGTTTGTACTCATGTGATGTACAAAGGACTTGTTTGTTCCCAGGCACCCTGGCGATGATCTTCCGCTTGGAGCAGCTTATCCACATGATGTCCATCGGTACCTTGTTGGCTTACTCCATGGTCGCCTCCTGTGTTTTACTTTTGAGGTGATTCTTACTTTTACTTCGATATTGTATTAAAAGTATTTAATTTCAGACTTTGATCTTATTATTTTGAGTGTTGTTATATATTTGTGTAGAAACTAAAAGGTGTCTGGCTACCATTAGGAAAGTAGTGACGCAAAATCAAGCCTCGCCTCCTGACCAATCAGGTTCCAAGAAAATATCGTTTCGTACGTAAGTTTGTAACCTGATTGGTCTGGATGCTAGGCTTAATCAATGCGTCACTCTTTTCTTAACGCGAATGCATTATAGTGATATGTCTGATCGTTAAAAATGTATGTGTGGTGTCTAAAACTTAACTAATATGTTTAATATTTGGTGTTTTGACGATTACCGCTTTTATCTTATTTTTATTTCTTTATATATTATTTAGAAAATTTAAAACTATATTGTTAGATTTTTTTATGATACGAATGCCGTCAAGGTAATTAAAAGTGAAATTGAAAGTATTTAAGTGGTCGTGTGTGGTTCAGGTACGAGTACGGTCAGGCGCCGCACCGCGCGCAGGAGGCGCTGCGCGTGTCGCTGGGCGGCGCCGCGCGCCAGCTCCTCAACGCCGAGGGACACGCCGCGCCCACCCGCCTCAGCGCCGCCACCGTGGCCGTGCTCGTCACCTTCTACGGTAACTACACCCCTACACCCCACTCCCACAGCGAACTGCATCGGTCCCCACCCGCCTCAGCGCCGCCACCGTGGCCGTGCTCGTCACCTTCTACGGTAACTGCACCCCTACACCCCACTCCCACAGCGAACTGCATCGGTCCCCACCCGCCTCAGCGCCGCCACCGTGGCCGTGCTCGTCACCTTCTACGGTAACTACACCCCTACACCCCACTCCCACACCGAACTGCATCGGTCCCCACCCGCCTCAGCGCCGCCACCGTGGCCGTGCTCGTCACCTTCTACGGTAACTACACCCCTACACCCCACTCCCACAGCGAACTGCATCGGTCCCCACCCGCCTCAGCGCCGCCACCGTGGCCGTGCTCGTCACCTTCTACGGTAACTGCACCCCTACACCCCACTCCCACAGCGAACTGCATCGGTCCCCACCCGCCTCAGCGCCGCCACCGTGGCCGTGCTCGTCACCTTCTACGGTAACTACACCCCTACACCCCACTCCCACAGCGAACTGCATCGGTCCCCACCCGCCTCAGCGCCGCCACCGTGGCCGTGCTCGTCACCTTCTACGGTAACTACACCCCTACACCCCACTCCCACAGCGAACTGCATCGGTCCCCACCCGCCTCAGCGCCGCCACCGTGGCCGTGCTCGTCACCTTCTACGGTAACTGCACCCCTACACCCCACTCCCACAGCGAACTGCATCGGTCCCCACCCGCCTCAGCGCCGCCACCGTGGCCGTGCTCGTCACCTTCTACGGTAACTACACCCCTACACCCCACTCCCACAGCGAACTGCATCGGTCCCCACCCGCCTCAGCGCCGCCACCGTGGCCGTGCTCGTCACCTTCTACGGTAACTACACCCCTACACCCCACTCCCACAGCGAACTGCATCGGTCCCCACCCGCCTCAGCGCCGCCACCGTGGCCGTGCTCGTCACCTTCTACGGTAACTGCACCCCTACACCCCACTCCCACAGCGAACTGCATCGGTCCCCACCCGCCTCAGCGCCGCCACCGTGGCCGTGCTCGTCACCTTCTACGGTAACTACACCCCTACACCCCACTCCCACAGCGAACTGCATCGGTCCCCACCCGCCTCAGCGCCGCCACCGTGGCCGTGCTCGTCACCTTCTACGGTAACTACACCCCTACACCCCACTCCCACAGCGAACTGCATCGGTCCCCACCCGCCTCAGCGCCGCCACCGTGGCCGTGCTCGTCACCTTCTACGGTAACTGCACCCCTACACCCCACTCCCACAGCGAACTGCATCGGTCCCCACCCGCCTCAGCGCCGCCACCGTGGCCGTGCTCGTCACCTTCTACGGTAACTGCACCCCTACACCCCACTCCCACAGCGAACTGCATCGGTCCCCACCCGCCTCAGCGCCGCCACCGTGGCTGTGCTCGTCACCTTCTACGGTAACTACACCCCTACACCCCACTCCCACAGCGAACTGCATCGGTCCCCACCCGCCTCAGCGCCGCCACCGTGGCCGTGCTCGTCACCTTCTACGGTAACTACACCCCTACACCCCACTCCCACAGCGAACTGCATCGGTCCCCACCCGCCTCAGCGCCGCCACCGTGGCCGTGCTCGTCACCTTCTACGGTAACTACACCCCTACACCCCACTCCCACAGCGAACTGCATCGGTCCCCACCCGCCTCAGCGCCGCCACCGTGGCCGTGCTCGTCACCTTCTACGGTAACTACACCCCTACACCCCACTCCCACAGCGAACTGCATCGGTCCCCACCCGCCTCAGCGCCGCCACCGTGGCCGTGCTCGTCACCTTCTACGGTAACTACACCCCTACACCCCACTCCCACAGCGAACTGCATCGGTCCCCACCCGCCTCAGCGCCGCCACCGTGGCCGTGCTCGTCACCTTCTACGGTAACTACACCCCTACACCCCACTCCCACAGCGAACTGCATCGGTCCCCACCCGCCTCAGCGCCGCCACCGTGGCCGTGCTCGTCACCTTCTACGGTAACTACACCCCTACACCCCACTCCCACAGCGAACTGCATCGGTCCCCACCCGCCTCAGCGCCGCCACCGTGGCCGTGCTCGTCACCTTCTACGGTAACTACACCCCTACACCCCACTCCCACAGCGAACTGCATCGGTCCCCACCCGCCTCAGCGCCGCCACCGTGGCCGTGCTCGTCACCTTCTACGGTAACTACACCCCTACACCCCACTCCCACAGCGAACTGCATCGGTCCCCACCCGCCTCAGCGCCGCCACCGTGGCCGTGCTCGTCACCTTCTACGGTAACTACACCCCTACACCCCACTCCCACAGCGAACTGCATCGGTCCCCACCCGCCTCAGCGCCGCCACCGTGGCCGTGCTCGTCACCTTCTACGGTAACTACACCCCTACACCCCACTCCCACAGCGAACTGCATCGGTCCCCACCCGCCTCAGCGCCGCCACCGTGGCCGTGCTCGTCACCTTCTACGGTAACTACTACCCCTACACCCCACTCCCACACCGAACTGCATCGGTCCCTCAAACAATGCTTTGTGAATATCGGCTCAGGTGAAGGTCAGTTGTTTCTATAGTTCCTCCGGTAGGCTGATTTTCATTAAGATTACCTAAACGACACCCGAATAAAAAGAAAACATTGAACCGTCGCCTGATGTCTGACAGATGTAGAAATAATGTCTCTAAAATCATTTTGACACTTGGACATGGTGACGTGTCATGTCTGTACTTTCTATAATTAAAATATGTGTTGTGTATCTGTGTATTTAAAATATATGTATAAAAATGGCTACTACAATTTATGTTAACGGTTATATAACGACTTATTAAAACTTAACCTTTTTACGCCAGTATTTAAATAGGATCTACAATAAAAAAATATTACGTATCAGGTGTGTGGTGCTTCGTGATGATGTCAGCGGTGAACCAGTACGGAGATGCGATCCTGGCCGGGCACGTGGGCGCTGTGGCCATGTTCTCCGTGGGTACGGTGTTGGTGATTCTCACTCTCTACTTTATATCTAGACAACCCGTGTCCGATAAGAAGTTGGCTTTCTCTGTGAGTACCACACCTACTAGTTCATCTATAATATCTCGAATCTTCTTCTTATTTTATTGAACTTAAACTTTTTTATTGAAACAAAATGATTAACTATATTTCTCCGTTTTGATTTTTTTTTATAACTAAATTCTATTAATTAATCTGTGCTTAACTTGTAATAACTAGTGTTGCCATTAAATAAAAATCCCTAAAACAAAATTGGGTTGATTTTGAGATTGATTTGAATGATTGACAATTTGAAAATGTACCTGAACAAGGCAAAGTTTTGGATTCAGATTTTTTAAAGAAAATTTCAATAGAATTAATCGAGTTTGTATAAAATTATTGGTAATTTTGTAGGTACCGCTAGTACCCTGGCTGCCGGGTCTGAGCATCCTGATCAACATCTACCTCATGTTGAATTTGGACTATATGACGTGGGCGAGGTTCGGTGTCTGGATCGCAGCTGGTAAGTGGATGTAGATACCTTGTTTTGTTCTAGAAGATGTAATGATGACTTCACTCTCTTTCTTGTCTGAAAGGGTTAATTAGAATTTTCTTTTTTTTTTTGCCCGCGTAGGCTTACGATGGGTATTTTAATATTAACTGTCAATTTCTATGCTTACTCTCATCTTTTAAAAAGAAAACTCCCGCATTAGGAATGTATCCTGTGTCGCGGGAGACTTTACAAACATACAGGAAACGGATACAAAGAACACCATAAAATAGTAAAGTATTACTAAGACTAGTCAGTTTTCGGTCACAATACGATATAATCACATTACAGTCAACGTTGAGTTAGGAAAATTGAGAGTGAAAAAAATACTTAAAGAGGAAGCCAGGGAATGGTACCTGTTACACATTTCCGTCCCTTTTAACTAAATCAATCTTCCGTTTCATTTATGTTTGTAAAGTCCCCCGCGACACAGGATATTTTACTAATGCGGGAGTTGTCTTATTTAAAAAAAAAAAAGAAGGTGTTACACATTTAAAAATAATCGTTTTGTCTTGGGAACGTGTTCTGTTTTTTTTGTCGTTTAAAAATCATGATAAGTTCATAAGGAAATATATTATTTTTGTTTAATTGTTGTACTTAAGTACATATTCGATTATAACTGTAAAAAACCAACTCATTGTGTATAAAAATAAATAAAGAATAACATTATTATTCAGAAATTGTAATTACGGTTAATGTTAAATTGCTGGAGTCCTTCTCTTGGACTTAGTCGATGATACATCAGTTCCGCCTTATCTGACGCCATCTTGCTTGCATCTACTAAGTGATATATAGCTTATCCTGATGCTAGGTCCGCGAGTGTCAAATGGAATAGATTTTCTCCTTTTTTTATGTTAGAGGGGGCAGACGAGCAGACGGGTCACCTGATGGAAAGTGACCACTGCCGCCCGTGAACGTCTGCAACTCAGGAGTCACAAACGAGTTGCCGGCCTTTGAAGGAGTACGCTCTTTTCTTGAAGGTTTGAAGGTCGTATCGGTCAAGAAATACCGCAGACGATAACCCGTTCCACAGGTTGGTTGTGCGAGGCAAAAAGTGTCTCGAAAAGCGCACAGTAGTGGAGCGCCAACTATCCAGGTAATGAGGATGAAAATTTTGCCGTGTGTAACAACGGCGGAAATTTGCTGCTGGTATTAGTCAGAACAATTCCTCGGAGCACTCTCCATGATATATGCGATAGAGAATGCAGAGTGAAGGCACATCTCTACGTAACGCCAAGGGATCGAGCCGATCGGAGATGTTTGGGCTATCGACGAACATTTAACATCATTTTTCATTGATGCTCCGCTCCTACTGATAGTAGCGTGATGGTCTAGCTCTATAGCCTTCCTCGATAAATGGCCATTCAACAGTAAAAGAATTTATCAATTCCAACCAGTCGTTACTGAGATTACTAGCTTAACCAAAAAAAACTATTCAGCGTTGCAATATATACAGGGTTACAAGAAAAGTCGTGCTAGATCCGTTAAGGGCGTGGAGTACCCATCATTTCTGACATATTTTACTATGAAACACCCTGCCCTAAACTTAACCCTTTTCGAGATAATCGTCTTTTAATTTTTTTATTGAAATTTGCTGATTTTTGGGCTACTACATTTATTTTTGTTTATTTTGTGTATCTTATTATTATTATTTTTGCATTTTTACATGTGTAATAAGATGCTTTAGGACGTCAGTCATTAAAATAGTTCATAAGTTAATTGAATAGATCGTAGTAGACAAGTGAAAGTAAAGAAATAAAAAAAAAAAAAAAAAAAAAAAAAAAAAAAAAAAAAAAAAAAAAAAAAAAAAAAAAAAAAAAAAAAAAAAATAGAAAATTATTTTTTCTAACGGATATCTAAAAACAATATTAAGGTAATTGTCCGGCAGATGTTTTTTTTTTTTTTTTTTTAAAATATCTACTTTTCATCAGCTATCTAACGAGGTATAACAATCTAGGGTTTGTATTACATTTCGTAGAAAAAAAAAAAAAAAAAAAAAAAAAAAAAAAAAAAAAAAAAAAAAAGTAGTTGGGACGCTCCAGGTAACACTTCTAACGGTCCCGCGACCGGTAGAGACCGGTTAGGGCTGAGAATACAACAGGGGGCATTGTTTGGTTGTCACTAGTTGTCAGTCTGCTTTTGTGCTTCGTACATACATTTTGCTCTTTTTCTCGACTTGGCTGTGATTCTGGACTATTTCTTCTGATTTGTGACTACTGTGCTTGTTTACCCGACTCTGATTTGTACCTGTGATACGGAAGTGTTGAAGATGACGTCCTACACACCTGAGGAATATGCTGATATGCTTATTTGTTACTTATACTGCGATTGTGTGTCTGCGCAAGCTCGTAACGAATACATAACTCGCTACCCTGGTCGTCGAGTGCCGGATGTGGCCGTTTTTGACAGAGTTTATCGAAGACTTCGAGAAACTGGCTCTGTATTGAGACGAAATACAGACATGGGAAGACCACGAATTGACGACGAAGAACAGGACAATGAGATAGTGCAACGCTTTCGAGCGGATCCGACTACTTCCACTAATATTGTTGCCCGCGATCTGGGACTTTCGCAATGGAGAGTGTGGTTTACAGTTCCATTACACGCCGGTACACGTTATTGAAGAAGGAGACCCCGCGAGAAGATTGGACTTTTGCAGATTTATGCTAAATGCTGACGTAGAAGACCCAGATTTTCTAAGAAATATCTTGTGGACGGATGAGTCCAAATTTGATAAAGATGGCATAACTAACTATCACAACGCCCATTACTGGGCCCCAAAAGAACTAAGGAATCCCAATAAGAAAATAGTGAAGGGGTCCCAACGAAGATTCAGCGCGAATGTGTGGATGGGCATTATCTCCAATCATTTGATTGGACCTTACTTTCTCCCGGATAATCTAAATGGGAAAAGCTACGAAAATTTCCTGAGACTGCTCTCAGGAAACTTGAGTGATTTGCTGGATGATCTGCCACTCAACCTGATCAGGGACATGTGGTTCCAACACGATGGCTGCCCTGCCCATTTCAGGAGAAGTGTCAGGGACTGGCTGGACACGAATTATCCAAACAAATGGATAGGACGAGGTGGGCCGTTGCCATGGCCAGCAAGAAGTCCGGACCTAACCCCCATGGATTTTCATGTGTACAGCATGCATTTGCATGAAAAGTCTTGTGTACAGCGAGCCGAATCCAGTTTCGTCTGTGGAAGACTTACGAGAAAGGATTGTGGATGCAGCAAATAAAATGAGGACCACGTTGACCACTGGAGTAGTGAAGACTGGTCTCCGTAGAAGGATGCGACAATGTATCAGAAATAGAGGCGGCCATGTTGAACATGAACTGTAGAATAATAAAAAGTTGTGTGAAAACCTTTAATAAATGACATTTCATGCTTAACTATTGTTTTATTTTACTTTTTTGGGCTAAGTATAAATTTTCTTCTCCACTGTCGCCTATGAAACTAAAGTTTTTTCAATGCATTTGAATAAAACCTTAGATTATTATACCTCGTTAGATAGCTGATGAAACGTAGATATTTTAAAAACATCTGCCGAACAATTACCATAATATTGTTTTTAGATATCCGTTAGAGAAAAATAATTTTCTAATATATTTTTTTTATTTCTTTACTTTCACTTGTCTACTACGATCTATTCGACCGGGATGGCGCCACTTGCCGTGTAAACAAGTGCTCCGTGATTATAATTTGCTAAAAAATAGTTAATTTAATGTAACGGGAACGACATAGTGATATATGAAAACTTTAATTGCCGATAAACATTAACTAACGTTATCTCAGTGTTGTGAAAACATTTAGTGACTAAAATATTAAAAACAAAAATAACATCTAATGGTAACGATCATAAACTGTCCTAAAACAAAATGGTATTTTACAATAGTGAACTTTCTCAATAGTTACTAACTTTTATACGAACTTAGAAGTGTTTACATAAAAAAGTGCATTAGTATATAAAACAGCAAAGTAACGGTTAGAAAAAAATATTTTAAAAATTTCAAATTAAGTGCCAAATCGTGCCACAGACTAAAAAGCGCGGATCGAGTAGCTAATCATTATTTGGGCAAGAAGTGCAATATAACCTCGCTAGAGGGCACTACATGAGTTGGCACTACAAAAATAGAGTTCTGCCATCTTTGAGAACATACGAGAACTACTTCGTCTATTTGACAACCTGGAAAGATTCGACAACAGACTGCGATAAAGATTGTCAACAGTATCATAAATACGATAATAGGGGGCGCAAAGCATAACAGGTGTTGTGCATAATGGGGGATAAGATCATACAACTGGCTCGTAACATTATCTTGGCGATAAGCGAAGGAAAGACTGTATCAGCTGCCAATAAAAGAATAAGAGAATAAACGCACCTGACTG